TTTTGCAATTTTTCAATAACTGCAAATGAGGATAAGAATGATAGAACAATGTTTTTCTTTTTCCCAAACAAACAACTGTCTTTGTCTTGTTGTGTACGAAAAAATTGTTGTGACTGTTGCTTAGTAAAAGAAACAGTAATTACTAATGTAAAATTTTTTTTTTAACTTCTAAATATACTAATGTAAAAATTTTTACCACTAAGATGTCTTTTCAGTAAAAGCCTACCTCATTAATGCAAAACACCAGAATTTCAATGGAGCTCGTTAAATGATTTTTGGCGTACAGTGTTCCTACTGCCATTTCAGTGACACGCCTATGTACACTAATTACTGTTGCGCAACACGCATTTGCTGCATCCGTGTGCATTTCTTCAACGGTACAATTACATGCTAACGAACCAATCATCAAAATTAGCGCATTCGAGGTACAACTGATGCATTCCACTACGGTTTCAGTTGCCATGCCAAAATCGATGCATAACAACTTATCGATATTAGAAATCCCATTTTCAAGAATTGATAGGTCACTAAAAATGATAACTGCTAAAAGTTATCCAAAAAAAAAAAAAAAATTAACTTTAATAATAAAAAAAAGTTATAGATGGAAATGGCTGACGAGCCATAGAATGCGGAAATTTTAAGCAAACCATATTCTATTTTGATGTCATTTAATCTTGACATGACACCAAGACCAACTTGCAACAAATCTACCAGAAAAGGTACTTACTCAAAGTTTTTATTAAATTAACTAGTAAAATAGAAATGTTACCAACCTGTGATCAATTTTGGAATATGCGGGAAATGAAGGATGAGCGACTGCACTTCGAAATGGATCAAGGAATTTTGCAGGAATAAAAGCGGAAATTAATTTTTCGATAGAAAAAGAAGAAAATAATGACAGTCCGTTTATTGCTAATATTTCTTTCTGAAATCTGTCGAATTTTCTTCTCAATAATTGATTTGCTTCAATAGCAAAATTAATTTGGAAAAGGTTTAATTAATTGAATTAATTAATTAAAACTAATTAATTAAAAAAAATCTTGTTCCACATACAGCATTGCAAAATGTGTGATACTGAATTACGGTCTGATTGACACAAAGGTGGTAAATACCTGCTACAAGTAGCAGACAATAAAGAGTTTATATGATAGAAAATTTAACTAGCAAAAGTGCATGATTTCAGTAAACAATTTATTTCTAAATTTCTATCACAGTTAAGTTCGCAATCACTTTTATAGCAGCATTACGTACTCAGTAAACAGCGTATAGCATACCTAAAGTAAATAAATACACTAAATTAATAAACTAATTGCCTTCATCTATGCATTGCTTAAAATTATGGAATATGTTGAGCACGCTAAGTAACTCACAGCTTTTCAATTTTTAAAATTCATGTCAGAAATTAAATACTTACAGTAGAAATATTTAACTGTATGCAAGGCTGAGCGGTTTCAACTGTGTCATGCTTCTTTTGATTAATCTGCTGTGAGCATAGATAACTATGATATTCAGTAGGCAATGCCGTTCCAGTCAACAAACAACGTATGATATCTACCAGATGAATTGTAATAACAAGTTCCTCATTCAGCTGTTTCGTAAATTGATTGATTAACACACGATATGCTTCACTAGCAAGCAACAAATCATTACTAGGTACTGAAAAGATATAACATCACATAGTCAATATACAGCATTATCTATCGAATTTTAAAAACGTTATAAAAAAAGGCATATTAATTTATATTTACAAGAAACACTTACATTTATGCAAATTTGTGCCAATAACATGAATTGATAGGATAGTCTCGTCCGGTTGCATTGACGAACCGTTACTGATGACATATTTCAAAAGGCTATTTATATGTCCTGATTTTTGATCCGCATTACTTGCAAGACTCCAACTCATTTCTGTATGGTCAGCATCTTCCAGTATACGAGTCGAAAAGTCCTAAAACTATCAGAACGATAAAATTACAGAGTAATAAAGCGAAGAATTCGTTGCGATGAGTAAGGCATTTCTGAATAACAACTTTAAAGAATCTAAAATTCATTATGTATCGCTATGACTACTCGACAACCTAAATTTTTTGCTTTATGGAAGTGGAATTGTGATAATGCTAATGAAAGCCAACTACCAAAATTTCCCTCAACAAATCGAAATTAAAAGAGGTATAAATTGATGTCTATTCTCGACACTCTTTTCTTACGTTGCAGTGACTATTCTGTCCCATTCTATCCAGCAATATTTGTTCTGCCCAGAAAATTAATTCTATTGAATTGAATCATTTAACTTCTAACAGCATTAAGTCAAATAAGTGCAGATCCTTTGCTCTTAAATGCGTCAAACGTAGCACCCTCTCCCCTGTCGCGTGTCTCATTTGGCGTCACGTAATTGCAAGCGATAAAACCTCTGAAATCCATCACTGTGTCCTACTCAGGGTGGGGGACGCCATGCAAACTACGACCTTCGACAACTGAATAGGTGATAGCACTGATTTGTGGATTGTGGTATGGTTAGTACTGTTGAAGGAATGATTCAGTGAGAGATATAGAAATATATTATCCGATTCACTATATTAATTAATATGGATTGGCATAAGTTTGAGATCTTGATTATTCAAATTTTCGTAGTGTACTGGAAATTCAAAAATGAAGGTTGCAAACACTCATTTTTAAAAAATCTTATTAGAAACTTTCAAAGTATTCTTTTGTGATGTTTTCTATCGATATCCGTTCGTTTTATCCTATAAATCAAAGTTCTTCTTCCTAAGGTAAATTTGGTTCCTCAACTTTGTTTTTTAGAATTTCTGCTTCCATTCTAATACACAACCTGTTTATGCTGGAACATTTAAGCAGTTAAGCTTCACGTTTAACAAGCACCTTATTTGATTATCATCATTTCTTGATATCACTTCAGAATACCGTATCGGAAGAAAGTCATGTCTTACTTGATTCGGTGGCTAATGAGACGAGGGCAGTATGTATGCTCAAATTGTATTGTGCTCTTTGTTCAGTCTTTATGTTTGCCAATCTGTTCATCGGAGTATTACTATTAGCGATGCATGACGGTTTAAAAGTACAACTTACTCGCTTGTTGTAACAATTACAGTAGAAATTAATTCATTAAAATTTCATCTTGTTCATGGTTGATTTCCTTATTTGGCTTAGTATGAACGAAATATTTATAAGAAATATTTATAAGCAAAAGTACTTACCTGCACACTGCCCATTTTATGGTTCATCACTTAATGCAATTAGTCAGTCATAGAGAGAAAAGAAATAAGTAACTGTAAAAGTAACTTACTGCAAATTAATAAAAGTAACTTACTGCGACTGAGTCATTACTGCAAATGGCTCGGTCGAATCAAGATTCCTCCCACCGTTCTTTTATCATTTTATCAGTTATCAGCGTTATGGTAACTCCTTTGACTCAAGTTATTCATTGTGTGTATCATTTAGCTTTGAAATCAAGACTTCTGTAATAATGTGATTGTTATTGAAATATTGAAAAATATTGTTATTAAAAACTCAGGTAAACTTATGGATAAAGTTCTAATTACCATCAAAATACAGGATTAATATAATGGAAGGATTTTAATCAGGGAAGCATTGCGGGATAGTGTCCCAAAAAAAAAAAAAAAAAAAAAAAAAAAAACAACGAAATAAAGTTTCATCTGTAAATAGATTTAGCTGATTGCTTTTAAAAATAGCCCATGCACAAATTTAACCGGTTGCTGTAAAAGAAAATTTTCATCCCTGGAGATATTGAACTGAATTTTTTATCAGCTATTTTAAGACCAATCTTCAAAATCTGGTTTTTTTCACCGCTAATAAGCACTTAATAAAATTTGGCTTAGCTTCAAACTGTGCCTATCCATCAAGTGTTATCAACTACTTTTTATATGCAATTACCTTTATATTTTTTTTATTTAAAGAAGCAACTAAGTTGAAGAAACTAATCAGAGCTCTGCACTATCATTTATATAAATTTTTGGTCGTAGTCGTTTCAGAATGAAGATGAGTTTTATTATGGGACTCTCGGAAGGAACGGATATATATCAACTTGGAACAAAAGTAATTCATTTCAAAAACTATTATTCTGACAATTATTTGCTATACGTTATTACGGGCACGCTGCAAGATCTTCTTTATAATAGCTAAAAGCATTTAAAAGTGGCGAAAAACTAGTACCGATTCAGAATTATTGTTGGAAGCCTTTTTGTATTAGCAACTAATTACAGATTTAGAAAAGCAAGAGTGTTCTATATCGGAAGCGGATGCTGTCGAATACCCCAACTGTCGCGAAAAAATGCAATGGATGGAGAAAGGATGACGAACACACAAATGTTATGCATTTTATGGCGTAAATGGAACATCCTGTTCTTTCAGGATCTACCTTTCCGAGGTCGAGAAGTATTGCCCAGTTTTGTCATGGCGAAAGGTTGTAAAAAATGGCACTGCAATTTCTCCTGAGAATAGAAATCCCGAGGTGATCAGATCTTTTGTCCGATTATTCAATGCACGGTATTACGTCTGATGACATCGTTGTCTAGTTTGTCGACAGCTCGGTTCGTCGGTCTTTGACTAATGCATATACGCTTTTTGTTTGGTTTTTTTTCTTCTAATCTCATGGGATCTGATGAGAAATTCTAAAGACTTAAAGAAATAAATTTAAGATGAATTTAACATTCAATCAATAATTTATAGAATTGAAAATACGGTACATTTCATGAACGATTACTTTCAGATGGAACGAATTCTGTCAGGACTTTTAAAACTTATGTTTGATAATGAGTTAAATTATAAGTTTATAAGGACCCGGATTACTCTTTTGTGGCCTAAGTGGTTGAGTGCGTACAATGAATTAATGATCAAGTGGCCAAAAGTCGTGTCTCTACAACAAAAACTGAATGTGCGTGGACAAATTTCACTACTAATTTTCCTTCTTTCAGAATTGTCATTTGTCTGAATACAAATACTAATTGCAGATAATAATGTATATGGGTTTCCTGAGTATGGAATTTGGTTTCAAACTCGGCCAGCTATCATCAACAGGTGGGCCACTTGGAGAACTTGTGCAGTGGTCTGATTTGATTGCAGAACTTTATCTTTTGGGCCACAGTCTTATGATCTGTACTGAAGTTAGGACACTGAATAATTGCATACACTTTTATAATGACAGAATATGAAGAAGAGTAGTTCTGTGTGATGATTATATTCGATTCAGTTTCAAATTTTAGTAAATTATTGGGATGAGTAAGAAACAGCCTTGTAATGAATAACTGTTAGTTTTGGGAGTAAATCAGTAACATATCTTAAAAAAGTATGCTCACTGCATGTATTTGTGCATATAAGATCCCCATCCCTTCTCCCGCGACAATTGTAACAAATACATAATAAATTGGTAATTAGTAAGTAATGCAAAATGGTAATCTTATTGTGGCATGTTGTTTTTCTGCGATTCTAAACTATTTACTAATCTAGTCTTTCCAGTAGTGGATCGGGATTTTTTTCTTTTTGCTTTATTGTCACTATTGAAAATTAACTTATATATTGAATCTAAGGAAGACAGTTCATCCTCTTGCCCATTTCATTTTTATAATTTGGAGTCCTCATAAACCTCATTTCTTATCAGATCGATGAATTTTCCATATATATATATATATATATATTTTGAATTAGTTTTATTGGATTTGCTTAATTTTTCAGAAACATAAAAAAAATCGATTATATGTGTCCTTGTCCACTTCATGACAGAGAAGTAATTAATCTCCTTTTCACTGATATCGTTGGCCTGAAGTATCTTCGTGGAAAAATGAAAGATTTTTTTAACAGAATGAAGTAAGTTAATAAAATTGTAGTTTTTTGTTTTATTTTCAGATTTAGATCTGTATTTTGTCTTATAGGCCTTTTTTTCAGTAATTACAATTGAAAATTATTTGCATTAAATTAGCTGAATTATTCGTAGTACATTTCCTCTCGGTCAAACTAATTCTTTTCTATGGAAGCCCAAGAGAATAGTAAAAAAGCAAAATTCATTCAGTCATTGATCAAGAGTTGTTTTATTTCAGATGTAAGCTATGAATTCTAGATTCGTTCGGCACGCATGCGGAATTCAGTTCTCGAATTTATTTTGCTGCTCATAAAAATTCACTGTGTGGGTCAAGAAAAAATCCGTGGGGTAACCATCAGTTAGATTTGCAGCAGTTCATGACAATGTACCCGCATACAGATGATAACACATTTCTCGGATTTGCAGTGGAAATGGATCCAGTTAAGCAAGATATCAAGAAAAATAATATTACTAATATTGGTAAACGTTCAATATGATTCATCAGCGAATATTTATATAGAATTATATTTTTTTGTACTTTGCAGGATGATTTAGTAGGCTCGAACCCTTCATTTCAAATGTAATCTTAATATTAAGGATAGGTCTTCGGTGGGCTATGATCCTTTGGTAATAGTTCAATTTAAAGTTTGTTATTCTGGACGTGGGTCGAGATTATTCTGAATTGAAAATATAAATTTTGCGTGTGGCATTTGTAGGTCTACGGTAAAGCAGGTTATATGTGGAAGAATGCGAAACGACTCATAGAAACCGTACGAAAATTTACTGAAGTGCACGCAACTGTTAACGATAATTTGCCAGATTTCGATAACCTTATAATAAATCACGGAGTTTTGATAGGTCCCGAATTACATGCTTTAATGAGAAAGGTGAAGATATTTTTGGGTCTTGGTTTTCTGTTTGAAGGTCCTGCGCCATTGGAAGCTATTGCAAACGGTGTTGTTTTCATCAATCCTTCGTTTAATCCGCCGAAATCTCGGAAAACATCCGATTTCTTCAAGGACAAGCCAACTTTACGCGAAGTAAATTTTAAAAAGAAACCGGTCGAACCTTCGTAATTTAACATGTTCGACTGGACTTTAGCGAGTTGCATTGCTGATGTTATTGAGTTACAATTATTTCCGATTATGGCACGTATAATCTGAATTGTCTGCTGCGGTATAAGGTTTCATTTCATTTTTAAAGAGGGCATAACGAATTCAATATATCAGAAAACACTGCTTTTCTCGTTCTTTCATTTTATAAAATTCAAATATTCTGAAAATTCCAGCTAACGAGTCAAAATCCTTATGCGAAACTTTTTATCGGTCGACCCCATGTATTTACTGTTGACATCGAGATTTCGTCGCAAGTAGAAGATGCAATACGTGAAGCCTTGCTTTCGCAAGTTAGTGTTTAGATCAAGTTATCATGAATTTTAGCACAAAACTGATTGATAATAGATTCAGGATTTTGAGCCAGAATTACTTAAATTAGTTTCCCTGAAGTTTGCACTTATGATTTCGTTTTTAAGCTAGAAACTTCTCAAATATAGCATTTTCCCGACAGTTGCCTATTTAGAAGAATGTTTTGATGCTAGTAATCCGGTTCTATAAAATGTGCTTATTTTACATTTTTTATTTAGGGTTATCTGTGAAAAAATTGAATAATATATAGCAAAAATAAATAATATACTTCAATCCTGCTCACTTCTAGCCTATCGCATATACCCCGTTCGAATTCACAGTCTTAGGAATCCAAACAGGACTTTTGCTATGTCAGCCGTTTTCCTCCTGTGCATGCTATTATGATAACAGTTGAAGCAGTTTCAATGCAATCTTGTCAAGATGCATGTCGTCAGCATAGTTAGTTTTATTAATTTCGATATAGTCAGGTATGAAGGCGAATCAATATGACTTTGAATTAAAATTGAATTGAAATGCAGACAAATGAGGGACATAAGGATGTTTTTGTTCATTTGTTCAAAATTTTATGAGACCTTGTCAATTATTACGCATTTCTGATGAGAAAGCATTTCCTTCCAAGTAAACAATTTTAATTACACTTTGTAATTGGTTGTTTCTAGATTTCCTGTGTGAACGTTCATTCTTCCGCATCGTGAATATGCCTGAATTTCTAAATAAGTATGTTCTTTGATTTTCCATACCTGATGTAACAGTTGTATTGTCCTTTGTTCATTTTTATTACTACCGTCCACTCGATACGTATGTGAACTTTTCCAGTCATTTCGGTGGGATTTACCGCTGATATGGAATATATGAGACTAACAATATATTGATTAATTGCAGGTATCATTTTAATAAGTCAGTGAATATTGTGATTATAACAAATGACTCATTTCTAGGAGTGGATCATGTGCAACGCTAAACAGTATACCAATTCCATATGCACCATATGAATGCTCGAAGCAGGAAAATTCAGATTTGTATAGCTGTGCATCCGTTCCAACGATTTTGGATATACGACGAATCTGTCCTTGTCGTGATTTCTTGCAGGGTCAGACAGCTCTCTTTCTTCTTGTTTATGATTCGCATTCTTGAGCATTCTTCAGACAAGTTTCCATTTCAATACATCAGAAAGCCTCAAGTAACTTAAATAAAAGTATATGTCCCTAAATTGTTAGTTTCCATAATGCAACATCCAATATGTTCTCTAATACAACACCCAATATGTCACTTTGTGGAAACTTCCAAGTATTCTGATCACAACCCTTTTATCCTATGCAATGTTTTTAATTTCCTTTGAAATCAAAAAAATAAAGTTTTTGCGCTGAATCTTCCCTAAATTGCAACAAGTGACACTTTCCATAAAAATCATGTTACTTCACATACGTAATTTTATGCTTATTTCATTTTAATGCATATTCCTCTTTTTATTCTGCTGCATAATTTATATTTAGTCCAAAAATGATGTTAGGAAAAATAAACGAATTCGAGCACTTTAAATGAATCATGAAGTAGCGGGTATTATTCGCAAATCAATAATAGATTTGGTTCGTGATTATTATTTGTCACCGGCAAGGTCGTGAAGATATAAGACATACTGCTTACCATAGAAGATTGAATGCAACTATTAAAGCTGGTCGTTCATTGGCCAAATCGAATATTGCCAAAAAGTTCCAGAGCAAATCATTTCACTACCATTTAAAGCAAATTGCAAAACGGACAGGTTTGATGGTAGGAGGACATAGCACTTGTTTCGAGGTATCATCTTACTTTATAATAGTACTGATTATGTGATAATGTTTATACAACGACTAGCGTAATGGCTAGATCGAAAAGCTCCAAAACCGAACTTATTTCAAAAAAAAAGAAAAATGGTTAGTACAAAGTTACAACCTTTTGAATCAGGTAAAAGTATTATCACAGAAAGTATGTTTACTAGATGTAGCTGGAGTTTTCTGCATTTTCCTTCCTATGATTCTGTAACAGTTCATTTGTTGCCATTTAGTACTTTTTACTATTGCAGGAATCTTAACTATCGGATAATCAGATAAATCCCTAAACAATTTGATTATAACAATAGCCTGTACTGCTAGAAGACAGTTTCTCCTACAATTGCACTAGCGAATTCAACACTTTTTTCGAATCATCACTTATTGTTGAACTTGTTTATGTATCTTTTATGAATAAGCTACATTTCAACTAATTTATGTAATTTATGACCTTATGAAATCACCCCACATGATAACTTCAAAGTAAGCATAAAAGTTTGAAATGAAATCAGGAATGCAAACAATTACATTTCAACACACGAGCATAATTTGGATTTTATGATTCCGCTTTTACACTTAGCTTAATCAGCTTGTGCCCTTCTCTTCGCGAGAGGCATGGGCTCATGCAAATAATGTTACGAGAATATAACTTATAGTTTTAAAGAATAAATGAAATGATTATAATACAATCTTTAGCTCGTAATTTTTTTCCACACTCATATATCAGATGAGTCATTTGCGTCTATGTGGTCGTAATTCAAACTTACAATTGCCATTCGCATTGCAGCGCGGAAATTATGGAGACTTCGCTTAAAAAGCCTGGAAAAGCGAGTCGTATTCTTGAAATGTACAATAAAGATTTTAACTACTTGAAATGAAATATCAAGCTACATTTACATGTTGGTCTGTTTTTCATAGCATTGGAATGTTCCTTAATTAGTAAAGCATAAATGCCAAGAAAATGAAATCATAATAAATCAGAAAAGCAGTACGAGTAACAAAATGTGTTTGCAAAATTTATTTAATTTACAAACTTTAAACAAGTGAAACTCACGACTGATCCAAATTATGGACAAGTTTTGCTCGAAAAGAATTCACAACAGCCCTAAAGATAGAAATATTGTCAGTTATATGATACGTTCAAAATAAAAGACGGAAAATTTAACAAGAAACGGATGCAAACCTTGTTTCCAATAACAGGAAATTTTGTACAGTTTCTTCTAACGCTGTAACATCAATAACAACTTGTGTGGTTTGCTCCAACGACATATTTTGTAAATGATTGAGACGATCAATTAGTTGGTCAAATGCATTTTGTATTATTGGACCAAGCACCTCAAACAAAATCAATTTAAAAAAAAAAAAGAATTGCAAGGAACATTATTCAGTCTCAACTTCTCAGCATAGGAAATAACATACAAAAAATGGTAAGTCGAGCTCGACCGATTTCACCGAATCACTCGCACATCGATCGAGCTTGACTTATTATTTTCTGAGCGTTGCTTCCTACCACAGTTACTCTCTTAATACCAATGGCGAAGTTTGGGAGACTCACACGTCTGAACAGAAAATGATATTGAAAAAATATGAAAGCTATGAAAACAAATTCTAGAACAGGATGAGCTGACCTGCCTATTTCAAGTAATATTAGTTATAGCTAGTACGAGTTTCAAAATCATTATGTAGGGAACCAAAATTTCTACAGCATTTCCAATTCATCAGAAATCTTTTAAATTTTACTACCAATAAAGTGCCATCAACATAATTCTTATGTAAGCATTTATGGATTGAAAAAATACCTCGCGCATGACATGCGGGGCAAGTAAGCATATTTCAGACTGGATGAATATTAGATACATGACGAGTTCTTTGATATAATCAGATGCCTCTGAAACAACTAGAATGGAGATGGAAACTACAGAATGTTTTTTGTTAGCTGTCAGATTCAATCAAATGGTAAGTTGACAACAAATTAATTTATTAAAGACTTGGTATGTAAGGCAAATAAGGCAAAGAATTACACTAGGAAATGTTCCAGCTATTTTCATTCATTCCATGCGAATACAAGAGCTTATTTATCATGCTGATAGAATTTTTTATTCGTACAAATATTATTTCCGAACTTGAGAACTCATAAAACTTAACGTCACCCTCATTTGGTAGGAGATCATAATTAGCCGATCCAAACATGGAACTAAACGTAGCACATTTTATTTGCAAGTAATACTTCATCAAGTTCTGTCGAAACGCTAATAACTGCCCTTTGCTTTTCTGAAAGTTCTCAAAAATTTCTTTAGATTTTAATTATGAAGAAAACAGAATAAAAAAAAAGTCTCTGGAACTCCTTCACATTTTCAAAATAATGAAGTAATTTAGCCTCTTCAGATGAAACCAGTGATAACTGTCGAAAAACCGAAATATAATTGGAGAAATAAAATTATAAAACTGAAGATTGTACATATTTGAACATTCCTTATACAAATGTTCTAATCTCATGTAGGGAATCATTTATCCAATATTCTTCAATTGCAGCTGAACTTATTCATTGTTACAATTTGTAACAAGAATGTGTTGAAATTTTGTCTCAATAAAATTGTTTAGAGAGTTTCAACTCCTTATTGTAAATCATGCATTTTGTTAAAATTTAATGCATTCTATGTAAGGACTGACACTCACTGTTAGGGAATTCTTTAGAATCAATAAGCATACTTTTAAATTCTTCATTATTTACAATTTCATACATAAAAATCCTTTATTATTTATTTCTTCAGGTCATCCTACATTCTTAGGTAACATTTCCACGAAATTATCAGTGTATTGCTGCTATGTATCAATCTCCGCAACAGATTCATTTGTATCAATTTCAAACTAAACCAAAAACATTTTCCTACCAAATCTCTACAAAAGAACCTCACTGCAAAAACAAAATACAGTAGTTACTTCTCCAGATTTTCTATGATCTAAATGAAAAATATAAAGTATTAACAGAAACTTACTTCAAATATGAGGTCGCCATACTTGACACCATTCTCAGCTAAGCGACGACACAATGTAGGCAAAGAATTACTGAGTATATATTCAATGTTACATACGGCAATAAGCAATTTTCGGCTGCTAGCTGTCCCTTCATTGAATAAAGCTGATGGACGCTTTACACAATTTCTACATATTTTACAAAAAGTTTTACACCAAATTTTCAAAGAAATTTCTTCGTTAGCGAAATCATCCTAAGTTACCACCGTAGGTCTAATAAGTAATGCAAAAAATGTTCTTTTTGGATCAGCTAATAGATGATTTTTGGGCTTTACGTTCAAACAGTTCAGAAAGTAAATTGTAAACCAAAATTTTTTTAAAAAATATGATCCATTTCCTCAGTCATGCAAGATTTCAAGCAAATTATCTACTTTCAAGCTTCATAAAATTCATCCAATTTTGCAATATGTTTGTGTTAGAATAAATGCAATATACCTTAATTGTAGAACATTCTCTATACAATCGCGAACTGATGTGAGAATCATCGTAAATAAATCAATCAACATAAAACGAAATCGTTCCCTACTGAACAAGTCCAATTCACCCGCATAATTTGAAGATGAAAGTATTTGCCGAATTTGTCCCATACTAACATTCACCTCAAAAGAGTAACTACAGAACAAGCTGATAGCATTGGTAATTTTGATTTAAGCTCTATAATGAAGTTCAGTTAATTAAAATTATTTTCAAAAATAAAATACACTTCCGCTTTTTCGTATTTGGAATGCATTTAGAATGCTTCCTGAGTTAACTACATCTATTTGTATAAATTTCGAACTAAGGATATGAAATTATACAGAAAACAATTATTGAACATTACCTATCCGTAAAGAAACTCACCTCAGTTTCATAAAGATCTGGTAAAATAGTTTTCAACAAACCCGCATGCTCTAATTTCCAGATTTCTCCATTCCCTAAGCTAATTACTCCTAAAATAATGGAGTGAAATGCGAATCGCTTCAAAAAGGAAGTTATCCGAGTCATGAGCAACTGTGGTTTTATTGCCACTATTACTACAGTAACACATTTTATTTGCTCTATATCTTATTGAAATACGATGAAAGCATGTAGGACAACTGGATGACGGTAATATTAATAAATGATTATGGCTACAGTTAAGGAAAACACTGATTCTCTATTTCCGATGGCTATTCTCCAGGCAAGATAAATTCAGAGGCCCAACTTTAATAAGTAATAACTGCATAAATTAAAAGATTTCTGGAAGTGCTTACCCTGAGTAACTCTTTCAATAACTTTTGATAAGCATTTTAATCGAATAGTAACACAAAGCTCCAAAAGTGGCTGTAGTTGCTCCGAAGTAAAATTGCAATCCAACAGGAAACTTACGCATGATCTGAAGTGTTTATCAGTGTAACTGAATCTAATATATGGTTGCTGGAATCAATGTACAAATACAATCACTCAAATCAATGTGATATTATCTACATTATTCAAAATTTGGTCATACAACATAGGTGTTCTTGATATATCTTGGACTGTTTTATCGAGTATAATCACATTAAAAGTATTGTAGTTTGACTGTGTATTTTTTCCTTCTGAACATGAACAAGTTCGTTTTAATATATTAGAGAAGTTTTACAGCTTTTAAAACATATCATTCTCACCCTTATTGTCTATAATAAAATGGTCAAATTAAAATGTGTGTTTAAGCATTTGTTAATTTTCCATTAAAGATAGAAAAGATGCGAACGATTGTTTAGTCTGTCAATTTTGGAGTTTATTTAATTTACCATAATAATAAAAAACATTTCACACACCTCAAAATTTTTAATGATGAAAATAACTGGTGTGTGAGAGAAGATGCGATAGGCCATTTCGCGAACTGCTCGCTATATTTTCGCAAAACAGATTCAGGTAAAGCGTCAGGCACTAACGCATTCAATATCAGCCATGATGAAACATTGACTGTATTTATGAGCATTTGCTGAAAATATACGATGAGTTAATGAAACAGCTATAGGTGAACCAATGACGGTGGAAATTTTCTTGAACGATGAGAATTTCAGGAAATATCTGGACAAAATAGAGAATGCAATGAGACCTGGAACACAAAATAAGTGAAAAATTGTTTGAGATGTTCAACTGCAAATTTTATCTAACAGAAAAGCATATTTCTACCAAAAGATAAAGCAAAGAAGGTCGAAGGTTTTGAACTTTAAAGGGCTTTAAAAAATCAACTAAACTGACATTAATGTCACATATGCGATCCACCGAGGTTAGATTTGTAACTGATGAAGAGTATATCTGAGAAAGCTTCCAGAATATTTGTAATTTGTCGGTGATAAGATCTACCATTTCTTGGACGAAATCGTGAAGATTATGGAAGTTTTCTTCAATTACTGTAACAGTAAAATTTTCATCAGTAATGATTTATAAAAGATGAGCATTAGGAGGAATTTTCTTATTCATATAATTGTTATCCACTAATGATTTAGTGGATAACAATAATCTGAGAACATCAGAACAATTATTTTAAAAAATTTCCATTTCCGAAGTCCTGCCATAGTGAATGGGATTTTCTTCAGAACAAGAAAGTATAGAGAACGAATGTATAACTCTACAACCTCAATTTTCTCGAACGAATTATGTGTAAATCTTGAAAATGTACGAATGAACTATATAAATTAAAAATAAAGCACCCTACTAATGAAAATGTTAGATGGCACTCTAAATTCTAAGACCCTGAACATTTTTTTTTTTGGCCTGCTGTGATAAAAAATAACTAGCTGTGAAAAAAGTATATATTTTCGAGGATATAGAATCAAGTGAATAGAAATGATCTGAGCTCCTTACATGAAAATATGCCCGACGATTCTCTCCTACTCTTGACTTGGTCCAATGCTGAAAATTAAAATATTTTCAAAAAAACTGATAAATCACAAAGATGTAGAAACCCGATTTTCAAATAATACCTAACTTCAGATGCTTTCTTTGCGTTTGCCACAGAAGATCTTCTAACCAACAGTGATATGCTGTAATGCAGTCCCATGCTGGGTCAGAATTCGGTTCGAGAATCTGTAAACGCAATTAGAGTATTCAAATTGGTAACCAACCGCAACATTTTGTTTGACCCATATTGGATTTAATTTCTCAAATCTTCCTTTTTACTGAAATATTGTAGTCACTTTACAAAATAATCTATGCATAAGCAATCGAGCAAAAGAGAAAAGAGATAATATATCCATTACTTTTAGATATTTGATGAGTTTACTTTGATCTTCAAATGAAGTAGGCATATCGATCAAACGCTGCTTCATATTTCTTTTAAATATTTCCATTTTCTGATCCAATTCAGTCATCACTGAAAACTGGCTATGAACTTGGTTTTGTTATTCAACCTTTTGTCTACTTTCAGAAAAGCAACAAATTAATTATAACACAGAAGAATTTACCCTCCTTAAATAATGACACCTCAGTATCTTTAAAGAGTGATTTTGCGCGGGCATAATCATTCAGAATAGTTGAATATTCGCCCTGGAATTAATGCACAATACAAAATTTGCACAATTTGATTCATTGGTATGTTCTACTGGAAAGAGGTATAAGCAAGACACAAATTTAAACTTTCGAAACTTGACCCGAAATTTAAATAGCATGAGAGATTTTGTGAAAATATAAGTTGTGTCACCTTTGCTAAATTTTGATCAATAGAACTAGAGAGGAAGAAAATAAATCGAAAACGAGTAAGTATTGATAAGGCATTTCGTGTAGCATCAGCTCGATCCTTCCGTGTTAAAACATCATAGAATACTGCATTTGCTGCTGTGTGTGATTCAGTTAGCTGGAATTTAGCTGGAAGTTTCCCGAACATTCTTATAAGCAGTGAAAAATCATAAAAAGAGAATTGTATGAGCTACAACTCGATGCTCAATAATACTTATAAGCCAACAAAACTTCGTAATTCTAAACAAGATCAAACAAGATATTGTGAACCTTCTCAGAAATATTTTTTGTGAGCGGCCAACCGCAAACATTCCTCTCCAGCTGCATTTTATCGTAAAGTGTTGCCAGTGTATCAACGCAATTAATTAGTGAGTACAGATTAGCACGATGCAAATCGGAACTACTTTTTTCGCTTTCCTTAGTACTTTGAGTTAAATACATCAATCCTTTTCTGAGATTAACAAGTCTGCAAAATAACACAGATGAAAAGAGCCATGGCAAAATACGAAATTTGAGATATTATTCCCTCTGCAGAAGTGGTGACGTGTTTGACTTTCTAAAAAGATTTACATTACAGATGATTTTGAATATCCATATATTTGTATTCTTTTTTTGAATATTTTTGGAAAGACCATATATAGTAGTCCACAAAAAGCAAACAGCTTACAAATAACTGCCATAAGTTCAAACACTGCATGTATGTCACTTTTCTTCAATGCTAAATTCATTGTTTTCAAGTTTAACAATTTTCGAGGTCCATATAATTCTCAAAACTCACTTTGTTTCACGATGATTTTCAAGCAAGTACCAGGCTGGATTGAAATTTTCCATCCGAAGATTGCCTGAACCTTCCGGGAACATTTGCATTAAAGATGTTTGATCCATTTTCTTATGCCTGAAGAAAAGTGACATTTGTCCAAAACAAATCAATATATTTGTTTTCCATTTTTTTATATTGATTTTCAAGACTTCTTACTGTAATTATAAAATGCTTGAAAATCCCAAAATACTGCAATAAGTTTGCTAAAAGAAACACAAAAACCATGATTTATCTTCAGAGAGAGTCGCAGAACTTACGATTCAATCGTCAATCCTAACGCATCCACAATAGCTGTTGTTTCGGGAACATTACGGACAGCTTCACGGCCAGGAACAGTTCTTGTTTCATCTACCCAAACAGCACTTTCTTCCAATGGACCAACTTGCACGATGAAAACACGAAATGTGACATTTGAGGTACTTTTTCCCATCGACTTTGTTAAAAGGACTACTTCTCCAACACCACGCTTTGCTTGCCCAATACCTGAAATCATATATATTATTTACTGAGCTGCAAGAATGCTTAACATCAGTGAGAGTATTAGAGGTTTTATCTACCAATGTTTCAAATTATTCAAGTTAAAGATTCAAATTATTGGATATTTAATCGCTTGAGTCGGTAATAGATATTCTTATAATTACCAGTAAAACAACTATAAGTTTCAAGCTGAACTGTCACTTATAAGTGCCGAAAGTTTCATTAAAACTGGGAAATTTCAGAACAATATTTCACAAATTATCGTTACGTGCTATAATCAGAGAAGATGATTTCCACTTTGCTGACATTAAGCAGTCAGTTCCACAAATGGAGAGAGCAACCAGATCTGATTGGTTCCTCCCAAGATTTTCGCCACGAATTTTAATTTGTGTTCCCGGAACTCCTTCTTTGGGTGATAAACCAGTAATCAATGGCCGAAGAGCAGAATCACTGACTGAATGATCAGCATTTTCAGCCATCCTGAAACTTGAACATTTGTAAACCATTGCTTAACACCCAAATATTTTGCAACGTATAAAATCAGCTTTGACAATAAATACTAGCTGATCTCTTTTTCTTTTTTTCCTTTATACAAATTTAAAATGTTTCAACTTTATCGTAGAAGTAAATTAAGATCACTTCACAAATTTATACTATCATGTTGTAATCAAAAAATTGTTTTACATCTTCTCTAATTGAATAAAAAAAGTAAATACACCTACCATACATATTTTGCTACTGTTTAACTGTAGTAAATTTCACCCGTTTTTAGAGCTATTCATTTAAATTCGCCAATCTACTTAAAGACTACTCTGCGGAGGAAAAAGATTCTAATTTACTACATTATACCTTACATTTGCTATTGAACTTATTCCAAAAACCACACAACTTACAGAACCAACTTTGACCAAATTCGTTATTTCTAGGAACGAGGAGCAAGATTTAATAGTTTCAAAATATTGCTTCGAGTAGCATAGCGCGGTTTCGATGGTGGTTTTCCAGTCAGGAGAGGAGGGTGGTGGGTGTATGTGGGGAAGGTGAGAGTTTCATTTACTGGAGATTGTTCGTATATGAACTGCATTCATGACTATGCGAGTTTGTATAGTTATGACAGTTTAATAATAAATTGTTGGTCCGTTCTGCTAGCAGCTCATACCTTTGATGGCTATTTAATCTAGTTCGTTTCTTTATTGCTTATTACGGTGCTACACAATCATTCTTGCTGTTTTAACTTTTGAAGAAATATAAAGGCAAAGATGGGTTTTCCAGGATGCAAGAGATTTTGAGAAGCTGAGTGACAGGGAAAAAGATAGAAAAGGAGATGAACAGTAATGATGACCTGATTGAGGCATTCGTAAATGAAACATGCACTCCATGTAACACTGCAGTTGTTTTTCGTAAAGGTATCATTACATTTTATTGTTGGAAAAATTGTCTTTTCTATTTATTCTTTATATCTCTATATCTAGTGAGTGAGGTGAACTTTTCTTTCTTTGCTTCCCCTCTCTCACTCTTCTTCATTCAAGCAGTGTTGATGTTTCAGTATGATTTCTGAGTTTTAATTGTAAGTATGTGCATGAAATACAATATTCTTTCTGGCACGGCATCATATTGTTAATGGAAGCAAATCTCTTTGGTGTTATTGGTTTTGTTGGCGTTTAGTTTTTAAACTTCACATCTTGCATGCTTTTTCACGTTTCGCTGGTATATTTTTTAGGACAGCAGTGGCATTATAACAATTCACTGCAGTATTATTACGACTGTAAAAAGAAAGAAAACACAGTACCGCAAAGTTGTGCTTCCAATTCTTCTGGTATGTGGCAGTATTTGAAATAGGGTTTAGCTTTTAGGCTAGTTGTTAAATTCAAACTAATGTTTTTAGTGAGAAACAGTGCTCAGAAATATTTGCAGATAAAGTAGATTCGGATGTGGAGGAGAGCAGAGAGTATGAGGAGACCCTGTGCTGGCCATCGTACGCCTTTGTGCTGCCAAATCTATTTGAACAGCCAGATGATTTTAGAAATTATTTAGAAAAAGATCTGATTGAAACATCGACGCTTAAACGGCTTGAAAATTCTGGTTAGCTTTACAAAATGTTGTAAGTAGAAGTTCCGGATATTGAATGGATGTTGGATAGACAATGTTTTTTGTTTTTGGTAAACTACTAAAGTTTCCTTAGATCCTCCAGTAGAACTGTTGAAGAAAGGTTGAAGTAATTTTGCTTGAAATATTTTTTTTTCTTAAAAACGAAAAAATTTTTGGGCCATTTGAATTGGTGGTATTGGAATGGTAGCGGACAACGGATGTGGCCCTTGAGTACCACTGGTGACGGTAACTGTTTGTTGCATGCAGCATCGCTTGGTATGTGGGGTATCCATGATAGACAACTGATGTTGCGAAAGATTTTATATGAAATGTTGACAAGGTCTGTTCGTAATTGCTTATTCAATTTATTTGCGATGATTTTTGGGGACTGAATGTTGCTCAGTGCAAGATCATTCTTTGACTGGATCGCATGCTAGATGCATTTGTATGTAATCTTATTTGAATTCAAGAAATATTCATAGTTTAAATTTAAAATTCGGAAATTCTATTTCTAGTTAATAAAAAAAAATTCCTTTCCAGAGGAAGTAGACGCCATGTACTTTGGCGGCGTTGGCGTTGGACAGAAAGTCAGTCAAATTTACAATCAGGCTTAGTTTTAACGGATGAAGAATGGCAGCGTGAATGGGATAGTGTTCTCCACATGGCCGCAGCAATTCCGAGAACTTTTACTATTTCGTATTGTTTAGCTTTGTTTTGAAAAAATTGAGATCTTTATGTCTTATGCATTAATGCATAAGACATATGGTTTAAGCTTAATTTATTGATGTGCTGTTTTCTAAGCATGAAAGCAAACTTTCAGGGAAGATAAGGAACCTAGCAGGAGTGAAGGTACTGAACAAGTTTATGAAAGTTTGGAATCCATTCATGTCTTTGCACTTGCTCATATTCTCAAGCGCCCAATAATTGGTACAGTTATAAGGGTTTCACTTTAATCTCTTTATTTCCCTATTTTCTTAAGTATCTGGTTTATCTGCTTCTTAGACTTTTATATAAAAAATTGTTTCCAGTTGTGTCGGATACAGTGCTTCGCAATGCTGTCGGTGAAGAACTTTCTCCCATTCCATTTGGTGGAATTTATTTACCTCTGGAATGTCCTTCGGATCAGTGTCATCGTTCACCACTTGTTCTTTGTTATGATTCGGCTCATTTTTCAGCTCTAGTCACCATGCGTCACACAGCATCTAACTCTCTACAATGTAATTTTCGTATATTTTTCCTGTTATGGATTAGAAAATGATGAGCGGAAACATCAGTTGGACTTTTAGCAAAGAGAAATAATTATCTTGACGATCACTGTAGGCACTAATAAAAAAAAATTCCATTACAGCATCCGGAACTGTGAGCTGAGATTTAGCATGTCAAGTTAAATCATTTTTAATCCTACATCAGCGTCATGCTGATACAGCAGACATGTGCACATTGTTGATTTTGCTTATTTTTATTTTAAACATATTGGTTGTAATCTATTAAAACACAAGTTTCCAATTGCAGCCATCATTCCAATTACTGATAGGAACCGTATTCTTCTTCCTTTGCATTTTTCTGTTGATCCAGGACCGGATTTTACTTGGTTTGTCTTTTTTCTCGCTCATTAATTTATTTGATCAAATTGCATTTCACTGTATTTTTTGCGGATCCAATTTAAATTCTGGCGTTTTTTAGTTATACGTTATGCCATGGTTCTTTTTTATAATGAAATTTATGGATTTCAGGTGGAAAGACTCGGAAGATGCAGAAATAGCGGCACGGATCCAACTAACTGAAGCTGATAAACTTTCACTTATTCGTGAATATATGGATATTGTTAAGATTCCGGTAAGCTTAAGCTAAATTACTGAACGTTACTGTCTTTATTAAACCGTACAAAGTTTTTAACTCCTTTTTTTTGCTTTATTTCGTAAATTCGATTTAGGTTCGCCGATACTCATTCCGACATAACTTAACTGGAATCAGATTGGTAAACGGTGAGGAAGGGCGAAAATCGATGACATTATCATGTGGTGATGTATTCGTTACTAAAGATCATTCCGCCAGGTTACTGAGTGAAATAGCACAGCAAATCAAGAAACGGCTAAAAATAGGACGCAAAAAAAAGGTTTCATATTGCACACATTCAAAAAAACCACTTTTTGCTGGCTTAGATCTAACTTATGGAATTTGTAAGTTTGCAGACTTTGAATCTCAATCTTTTTCTTAGTGATCTGTTAAAAAAATGAACACATCTTTGAATTTAAAATCTATATTTCCTTTCAATTATTATTTTTTTTTTTTTTTTTTAAATATGAAAAACATGAGGTTTTCTTGCATATATCAGTGGATACATATAACAATAATGAAAGCATTTTATTTTAGAACCAGTTGGCTAATGCGGAGCAAGTTACAGTGTCAGATCTGCGATCTGCAAATCTTGTTGTAGCTGCACGACTACACTCTAATGCTCATCAATATATGGAACATATGGTGGATAATTATTTATGTTTAGCTAAAGAACGTTTCGAACAATCGAAAAATGTTAGTTATCTTCATACTTCTAAAGTATTTTTTACAGACACGAAAAAGTCAAAAATTTAACTTTTGCTTTTCTCTTTCCTCTTTTTAAAGTGATCAGATGATATAATTTATTTTATAATAAATTATATCGACATAGGCTATACGTTCCGATTTCTTACAGGCTCCTGGAATGACTTCGCGCCAACGTGCTCGATTATCGCATTCTTTCAGTACTTCATCACTATTGGTTACCTGCATCAATAAACAGTGTCAGAAGGTATATATCTGATAATTTCCCTAAATAACAGATTCTAAATTGTTGTATCTTTCTAGATCACTAAGGCTGGCTAGAAATCGTCTTTACCGTTGTGCAATTTGTCGATATTAGAATTAGATATGTCCGATATCAATCAAAGAAATTCGTAGTTCAGTTGAACCATTGTATTTATTCCACTCCTTATAATGTTATCAGTCATGATGATTTTCAGCTTAATATTAATTAGTCTATATGTGCTGTTTTGTTACTTGCAGCTCTGAAATATATCTTTCTATTGCTGAAAGAATTGTTTTTTTTTGTAAATTTAATCTGGTAGAACCATATTTTTTTACAAAGCATAATGCTAGGGTTGCACGATTATAAATCCAAAAAAATAAATTTTGCTTTATTAAGAATGTTATGAGCGTGGAATTCCAGCTATCAAATAATATCAGAATTACAGAGCGCCTCGCAGTCAACAAACTTCTTATGCAATGATTGCTTTGAGTACCAAAAGCAGTTGATGGCTTCTTTCGGGTTCGTGGTTTGATTTTTAGTTTTTTAAACCACATTTGACGAGCGTTTTTGAAGAATTTGTTCATTTTAACATTTTAATTTGTTCATTTACACTTTAGAGCTGAGCTTCCTTTGAGAACCCAGTTAGCTTGGACTGTGCTTTGTGAATGAAATTAGCTTATACTTAAACACCGTTCCAACAACTTCCCAATTTTAGTTGCGCACAACCGGGACATTTGCGTTCTCTTCGTTCGTGCCTTTCAACCACCCTGCGAGATTCATGCGATTTTTCACCTCGAACAGGTGGTTCCAATAAATCCAATACAATGCCGTCCATTACGGTATTTTCAAGAACCGTTTCTCATACTGACGGCAAAGGCCTCACGAATGCTCGGGATACAGGTTCTGTATCAGTTCCGCTTGCTGTAGGTGACAGTATGCAAGCTCAGCAGTCTGATAATCCTAGCTCAGAACATCATTGTGAGCATATAGCTGCTGGTTGTGAAGGAATTGTCCATACGGTAGCTGTTCATTATGCACATGCCCAAGCCGACGATGTTACTACCAAGTTCGTCCTTATGTTCTTCATATTAAAAGTTGAAAAATCTTTAATTGAAATCTTTTCGAACGAATTCGTTTCCAACTTTTACATTTTGAACTGTCTTCACATAATTTGTATGAGACTACTATTTACTGAACAATTGAAATGCGTTGTTCTCTCCGAAATTTAACAAGATATGCATAAGCATGCTTGTTCAACTGCACTGCACACATTGCCTTTCTTCATTCTACGTTGTTCCCTCCACATCCACATACAGTAGTGGACTAGAATAAGGTTTTTTGAGATGTCGAAAGTGTTGTGAATCTTTCGCTTTTTATCTTATTTTATTTTTATCATTATTGGTTTGGTCGAGGTCAATGGTATACTTCTTTTTTTTTTGTCATCAAGTATTTATTTGCTAATTTTCAGAGTGGCATCTATAGAAGGGGCAAATGGAGTAACTCATTACTATTTGTCACAGTAAATAACCAGTGCTATCTCCTCTTAATATTCAGTTCCGGAATTGGCATTTGTTACTTATTAAAACTAGCTCGGATAAAACCTGTTTGTTTGTTTTTTTTCGCTCTCTGAATTTTTTTTATCATGCGTCTTTTTCACTTCTATCTCAATCTTCAATCAGAATGAATTCATATATATATATATATATATAATTTTACTACTGTGATCTGACTTACTGTTACTAAAATATTTTTTCGAAAATTCTTTGAATTATAGTTTAGATAAATTAATTGTTAAATTTATCAGGTTTGTGTTAGATTTCAGACGTTATTAAGCTTGAAATGAATTAAGGGACAGTATTAATTTTATCAAAATTAATTACAGTTGAAAATGCGAACAGAAGGAGATTTCCGTGATTAAAATAAAATATCAGTTTCATGGGATTGCAATTAAATATTGTTTTTTAGCTGTTACATATAATTTATGCATTTTATTAGTTGTTAATTTCAAAAATGAGATTGTAAAAGTGAGGTGAGAGCTAAGCATCTATTTTAAGGAGAAGAGTATCAAAAAGTATTTTTCGTGGATCCTATCAAATTGGTCCAAATCGTCGAAAACAGTCAAACAATACATAGAATAAGTGCTGCATTGTAAGTTTCTTTCAGGAAATCTATCCCTTTTCCCATGTGAGATCATGACCCTGTGAAAACATGTTGCACTAATTCTATATACGAATGTAGAATTTTATTAATTTCCAAATTTAGTTTCTTCTTATCCATAAGGGTAAGGTTTTGTAACTGCCATCCTTGTTGCATTGAGATGTTGGCATACTGTATTTCTTTTTTTTTATCGCTCATCTACTCATTCTGGTCACGATGCTCCTTGTTTTGTTAACTTTTATTGACTTTTTCCATCTGTGATACCGCTAATCATTGCATTCTTCAGTAGATTTATTTCTTTGCACAGGTGGTATGCTTTGACTGTGTCTTTGTGCCCTTTCGCTTACGCTAAACTGTAGATTTCATTTTCCACTTTTTGAATGATATGCGTTACAATTTTCTGCTTTGGTGCTAAATGCGAACACTTTTTCCTATTTTAAAAAAGAGTGAAAAAAGTGTTTTGTTAAAAGAAAAAAGCGGGAGAACTGGAGGCAGTGTTAACTGGCTTCGAAATTGATTTCATATAAGTTTTTATTGTGTATATCCGTTGTATATCATCAAGTCGAACATGCTCAGCAACTGTTGAGGCATACTCACACACTGTCACAAAAGTTTTTTTTTTTTGACATAGAACAAACAAACGATTGACTTCCAGGTGGTATAGCCGTTTCATTGTTAAATTTGGGGCACCCGTATGACCTAAACTTTCATGGGAAGGCAAAAGTAAACATTTTTCTTATTCTTAAGTTTAAGTAATGGTAATAAATATTTAGTTAAGCGCTCTACAGTCATTGTACGTTCAGACTTCGCCTTTTTTCGCTCATCTTCCAGTGTTTTGCTTTTCACCGATCTAATTTTATCTGTGCTAAAAGCCAGAGATGAAAAATTTCTTTCGTTTTTCTTTGTCTTCCATTGTTTTTGTTCCAATGCATTGAACAACATTTTGTTTGGCTTTCGTGCCCATTGTTCAGGTGTAATAATTTATATTTTGCAAATATGAATTAATAAATATGATTCGATTTGAGAAATCACTTTCACACATTTTGTCTTACCCTGTTTCATATTTATTTTCAAATATTGATTATCAATGATTTACTCCGGTATTTAGTCGCAGTTGGAAAAATGGTGGCATACTTCAATTTTAATAAAGTAGGAACTGTGTTAGAAATTCAATTCCCTGAATATCTGGTATCGGTGTGCACAGGAAGTCTGTTCGGAGATTATTGGCTTCAGGTTCTTTTTGGCTTCATGTAAGGTGAAACCAAGACTATATTTCTGAATCGCGAAACAGCTTGTTGCTTTTGACTATGTCGCGACGATGACATCGTATTTTTCAGCTATTTCCTGCAATCTCTGCCACTTCTCTCCAGTTGATATGCCTTGAATTAAATCCTTCAAAATGTGTTCTTCCGATATTTCTTCCACTAAAAAATAATTGAAAAGATGATATTATCGGTAATCAGTGAAGTGTATTGTCACATGTAATATCATAATTCTACCAAAATTTGGTAGACAAATTGAAATATGTAAAACAACACAGATAATTAAGGATAGTTCCATTATTTACAACAAAAATTTCGCTGGTTCGACTAGAGCTTATAAATCTTCAGCATAAGATAGGTTGATCTCCGTCAAATCACTTTGTTTAATGTAAAGTTCATCTGTGACAAGTTCGCAGACTACATTAGATTGCTCAGTTGTAGCATGATGACTTGCAAATTTAATGACATGAAATTGAGAACTACATCATCCCTAAAAATTGTATCATTCGATAATTCTCAGCTATTGTGGCTGCATGAAATGACCAATTAATGTTATAGAAGGAGCAAGTATACCGAAATTTTTAAAATTTTAGTTTTACTAAAAAAGGGTAGCGTTAATAATACCTTTGGAATTCTTGTTACACCAATCATCTCCGTAACAGCAGCAAAAATAACCGAAAAAGTTCATGTACTGAACATTACTCATGCAGTAGTTTATTATTCCTTTAGTAAAGGTAACTTTCTCTACGCCTTCTGTTTCACTAATCATCTAAAATTTGGCCGATTTTAAATTTCATTATTAATTTTATCTGTTTAGCAAGAGCATTCAACAAGTATTACTTTGTAAAATTGCTAAAGATAAGCTGGTAATAGTTTTTTAGAAGTAACTTTTTCTTTTTTTTTTTTTTTGTTTTGGTTTTTTTAACCAAGAAAGGGAAAAAAATTCATTGATTCTTGTGATTAATGACAGTAAGTACCTCGCAGAGGAAGGTGTGATCACAGCCTCGCACCGTGAAGTTGCCTTTTCTGAATGAACTGTCCTTTCTCATGATGAAGCAGAATCCAGCTGGCCCACAGTTTTCCTCCTGAATCTTATCAAACTGATTCGAGAAACATTTTGTTGCTTTCCTTCCTGTTAGTATCATGCAAACGAGGATAAATAGCTGAAAGAATTGAGTGATAATCATTATCGAACCTAACTCAATCACAGCTTGTAGCAGCAGTAGACCCATATTTGAAAAGTTTTATTTGTTGTAGTCAGTAATTCATTAACTTACCACATACAATAACCAGCTTTTATCGGTAAACTGCAAATAACTGTTAGTTATCATTCTACGTAAAGAAAAAGAAAATTAGTTTAAAAAAAAGCCTTTTATAGCGTCTTATAACTTTTTCATTATGATAATTTCAAGTAATATTCTTACATGCACATTTCATGTCGGTAATTATCATTTTCATATTTGTGATCAGATGCAAAGGATACATAAATTATAATCTAATCCTGTAGGAAAAAAAATCGCAATTAATGTTTTATAATTAGGCTATTTATTTCCCCAATGTATGAAATGATTGACCACATTTAATTTATTTATACTTTTCTGCCAAGTGGAAACCATTTGTATTAATTTCGATACTTAATGAAAGGTGGTATTGCCTTGTTCTCTCGTCAATGAGATGTTTTATCGACTCGTAACTTTTTTTGTTTTCTTCAGTTTAGTTTAATGCAAAATTTATTATTAATTTATTATGCTGTAGAGAAACATAGTTGTAGAGAAAATGTATTAGTATGAACTTGTAAAGAAAGCTGAAATTGGCACTAATTTCTTTTTTCCAAAATGTTCATTTCTGCCACCATTGGAACAGAAAAACATCAAATGAGTTCATGCCAGAAAACTCTTCTTTGTTCTATTGTTTGTTAATATTTTCTTCTAAAAGCTGATCATCAGAAAAAGTTTTGCATGCTGATGTTTCTAACAGAGATATGGCTGTATTTTTTAATGATCTTTTAAGAAGAGATTATTGCATCAAAATTTTAAGCTTTGTAGCCACATGGTTGATGGAATTTTATAAGTAGAACCCAGTCTCTTTGGAAGTTAACTAGCTATCAATAACTTTCATTGAAAAGTATCTTTTTCACGCAAAATTAAATGCAACGACAAGAAAAAACATTTTACAGCAATTACAGATATCAAAGAGTATTAAAGTGGTAGGACCACATGACCCAACAACGAAACCATTCAAAAAACAAAACCCTGTTGGACCATTTGTAGGGTTCGTTCTAAGTTTATAATTATTTTCTAATACGCACAAGAATAACCAAAGTTTTTCAAAATTTTCCGAATTTCATCCCGAATATTTTAGTTGCTCCCTTCAACTTAAAAAATTTTCTGAACACACTTTGGCTCATTTTCGAAAAACGTACAATAATTTCCTTCGCATGATTTTGAAACGAAAGGCTTTAAAGGACAGGAATTTCAAAGATTAGAAAATATTTGAAAACTTTACTCTTGCAATTAAAACAAAATTTCAGGAAAGTGTTAATCAAGGCGAATGACAATCTTCTATCGGAAACCTATTATCATGGTATTGTTAATTGCGTTGATGTTGAAAAACTGTTGATAAGAGATGGAGATTTTCTGTTTGGCATTCCAGAAGAGGATGAAGAAGAGGTAGGTGTTAATTTGAGAATATCAAAGAAAGATTTTTTGTTAAAATTTTCAAAATAATGAACTCATTGTAGTCAATTGTGTGGGTGGTGCGCTATAATCGTGATTTGTGGGCATTTAATATTGGTTTAACCGAAAAGGATCTATATTTTGTTAATCAGAAATGTTTCAAAAAAATTAGCGAAATGGTCTCAGATTATATTCGTACACGAAAACCGATTCATGAAACTCTGCCCATCGTTGTAAAGCGACCTGTTCCTCATCCGGTCAGTTGTATTCATTTGATATAAATCTGAAATTGCAATACAAAAGAAGTGCAAGTACTGTAACAATACCGTATGAATAGCTATAACTGCAAACAATTATTGGTGTTCAAAGTTAGCAAAAAATAAAGCGCATAGATGATAAGAAAGCACTGAGAAATTCAATCATTCTTTCAAATACTGGAGCTATTAGAAATGACTTTTAGGCTTGGGTAGTGTCACATGATCGAGTACGTCTGAAGGATGAGCTTGGCGAAGGGGCATTTGGTCGTGTATATAAAGGTATACTACAAGTTGGCCATACTTACATGACTGTTGCTGCAAAAACATGCGTTGGACAAGCCAGTGATAAAACCAAACGAGCTTCATTTCTTCAAGTACATTTCTAATCCTACTTCACCAATTTCTAGCTGATAATCTCCACCGCTAAGAAATATGCCTGTTTTTTGGCTTGTAAAAAATTACAAAAAAAGTAGTTTTGGTTACATAAAATAATCAAAATAACCTTTTTTTTTTTTTTACTTCATTATTCACAGACTCAAACCCTGCTTTCTTCAAATGAAAACCTTGAAAAATTCACATCATCTCAGCTTTACAAATGATAAAAAGAAAAACAACAAAAAAAAAAAAAAAATGGCAATCCGGATACCTAAATAATTTTTAATATTTAGGGAAGAGCGATAAGAAAGAAATTGAATTGACTGGTAATATCATTCAAGAAAGCCCGAATTAATAATTTAATTTCCATAACGTCAAGCATTATTGGTTACAGGAAGCTAAGGTTATGAGAGACTATAAGCATGAAAATTTGGTGCAGTTTATCGGTATCGCATGTCAAAAAGAGCCACTGATGATAATTGTTGAATTCTGTGGTGGCGGATCTTTATTAAAGGTTTTCGAAAATTTTTGATGTCTTGAAGTCTGAAGATATATATAATTAGAAAGACATCACAGCAATAACGCTTATGCGATTTTTAGTAATTAGCAGGAATGAAAAAGAATTTTGAACATTATTAATAATTTAAAAAAAGTAGTTTCAGTATTTACGGAAGAAAGGGGCGCATCTCGGAATAGCAACCAGATATCGTTTCGGTAAAGAAGCATCGGCAGGTTTGAAATATTTAGAAGAGAAACGATGTATCCATCGAGATGTAGCCGCTAGAAACTGTCTTCTTACAGAACACGAGTTGACGGTTCGTGTTTGTTTAGAAAGAGAGTGATGATAAGGGAGAATTGAGCTACTTTTATTCTAAAACTTTTCGAAATCTCATTTTTTCTAACCGATATTCTGAAAGGTACTGCCTTCATTTTTTAAAAGACATTTTCAAGTTTTTCCTTTCCTACCATCATTACGTCCTAAAGTTAATAGACAAACTAGAATTATTTTCCATTCAGTTGAAAATATGCGATTTCGGATTGTCAATCAGGGAGCAACAAATTTCGAATTCCGAAATACAGTTGCCAACAAAGTGGCTTTCACCAGAAGCAATCAAATCACTGCAATTTACTACCAAAAGTGATGTTTGGGCATTTGGTGTACTACTATACGAGATATTCACCGATGGCAGCGAGCCATATCATGGTCATCCATTAGTCAGTCAGTTAGCAGACAATTAAGGAAAATTATTAGCTCCAGCGCAAAACAGCAGAAAGCTTAATAGTGGTAGTTAGCAAAGTGATAAGGACAAATCAAGAATTTCAATCAATCTCTGGAAGATTGTCCAAATTTCATATAACATCCAAGAACACTCCAAAATCTTTTGCATTAAATTTCTCTAAATTTTCAAATTCAAAGTTTGTGAATTATTAACTATCATCAGGTATGAGTAATGCACAAGTGCGAGAAAAACTAACTGATGGTAGTAAGTATCGAATGGAAATACCTCTTGACGTACCGCCAGGTATTATGGAACTGATCAAGAAATGCTGGATGGAAGAACCGAAGCAAAGACCGACATTCAAGGAGATTAATCGGACACTTACCAAAATAGCATTTGTTTGAAATCAGTGGTCATATACAATAATTAGCTGATATTAAATAGTTAAATCAAAATGCATGTTACGCTACCCTGTTTCATTTGCGAGTGCTAAAATCCATCTTCCTGGTAATTCATCTGCTTGATGGAAATGATCTCCTTATTACTTTCTCCGCTGTGGTAGGAAGAAAAATGTCACACCACTCACATATCACACAATATACTAATTAATATTACTCACAAGTATAAAATAAAGTCTACATTTAAATAAGAAAACTAATTAGAACATTAAAAAGATTGATCAAGATGTTTTGGAACACATAAATTATTAAATTGCACAAAAAAAAAAAAAAAAAAAAAATGAATGCACAAAAGCTTTGGCCAAATCACGAGTGCTAAGAGTTCCACATACAAACTTCAAATGAATTCTTTCAACTTTTGCTCTGGCTGGGAAAGTAGTACAGTAATAATAAAGTGAAAATAAACTTATGGATTTTTACCTTTTTGCGTTTTAGTAACGGTAGCAAGCAACTGTGAAGTAAACAAGCTGAAGTGGTAATGGACAAAAAAATGATCAGTGATAGATTAAAGGGAATACTCTGACAGTTTACGTCCTATTAAATTTCTAGGAAAACCATTGTTGATAATGATAACCGCCATCAGTGGAGATGTCACATATCAGTGACAGTCAACCGACCATTTTGATGACTGATATTGATGCTCCGGTTTTTCGATAAATTTTTCCAATCTCAGTTGGAAGTTCCTCGTTGTGCAAGTGGAAAAAATGACAGGTGCATGAATTCTACCCCTGCATGCCTCCCATGTTCCAAATAATCTACCTAACTGTAGAGAACGCTTCCTAAACCTCCGTATATCCTATTATGAAACATTAAGGGAGAGATCTAAAAATTGCATTTTGACTTTGTCTATAGAACATTCGACCTTCCGGGAAGTGCGTGTAAGACGACGTGGAAGGCAGAGAGATTGTGGACTTGGGCGTGGGTAATAACTGATGATAATTTTCACGTTAAAAATTAATGGGTTATGTTGAGCATGTTTTTGTGAATACTGTGTTGAATGACCAGGCAGCAAGGGTGTGACGATTGCACTCGCTCTTTTTAAATTAAATTAATTCCAAAAAAGAAGTAAATAATTTTCAGACTTTTTTGCCACGATTTATTTTTACAAGCAAAATGGATTTCCAAATTATGGAGAAAGACATGTATGGTGATGTAGAGAACGATGAAGAACTAATGGCTGAGTTGTTAGCTTTAGAGGCAGAAGAACAAGCTGCTGGACATATGTCTTCAGCACGCACAAGTGGTACACGTGAACACAGTGCACGTCAGTATGCTTAAATCTTATCGATAACTTGTCACAGTCTTGTATGAATTTATAAAGCACTGAATTAATTTAACTGTGAAGCGAAAGAGAAGCTGAGAGAGAATGACATAGAAAGACCGAAGTTTACATTCGTTATTTTGCCAGACAGCAAATTAAGGCAATTTCGGAAGAAACTTATTTCTAATTTATGGTTTTGCTATTTCCAAGGAATCAAATAACTGAATGTTTTGGTGCAGAGAACATGCAGTTTCTGTGAACAAATTTTTTTTTTGTAAGATTAGTACATAATCACAGGTCATCATGAATCAGCTGCACAAGCTTCACAACGGGTGAGTGGAATGTATGGCATTTCAAGTATATCAGATGTATCAGATGAAGATTTGAATAGTAATGATGAGGTGGATATTAATGATCCAGAACTTTTGGTATGTATTAAATTTTTGGGATTGTTAGTTCATTGCATTTCCTACTTTATTATCCTCTATCGTAAGCACCAACTTATTCAATAATGTGTTAAATGCTTTAAGGCAGAACTGTCTGATTTGGTTGAACAGGGTAATGCAGCGGGATCACCTACATCTCCTAAACTGCATACTTCAATACCATATGAACCTGCTGTTGACACGACATTACTTTATAAATTGCGAGGACTTAAGGAGGAATACACTTCAGTGCTAGAAGCTGCAAAAGAGAAAAATGATATATTGCGCACTAAGAGGTATAGCCTATTGTTTATTCCTTTTTTACATGTTTACCAGCCATTAGTTAGGATGTTACTACTTTGTTGTAATGCTCGTAAGTTAGAACGAATTTTGAGAGCTCCGAAATATTCCACAACATTGTTTCCTCATTTAGATATCGGCGAGGATTTGACAAAATCGAGGAATTGATACGAAAGGTGCAAGCAGGAAAAATGATAGATGAAAAGGACATTCCAATTTCGATCAGAACAATTCGTTCTGTTGAATTACATGCAAAAGAAACTGACGTTTCAGTTATTCCCAGACCGGAGGTGATTTTTCAGTCAAAGAATTTCTGAAGCTTCAGCACTTACATAATTCATAAATAACTCCCTAGTTTGCAGTAACTAAATTTCAAAAATTTATCGGTAGGCGCATACTGCCATATGACAACTTATTATAAACTGTTCTTGGAATCAATCGAATGTTACAGTATATTTTACTTTTGTCAACATAGTATCTTAATTATAAAATAAATTAAATTGAGGTCAAGGTACAAAATTTAAATGTTTTTATTTTTGAAGATACAACCAGTACTGCCAGCTGAAGTAAAGCAGTCCGCCACGGAAGTAATCAGTGAATCGTCTCTCATTTATCAAAAACCAGTCAAGAAGCTGCTGAGAGGAGAGCAGCTGAGGGCAGAATTAATCAATCGTCGAGAATCCTATATCAAGAATGCCAGAGCAGCTAGCTCATGTTAGTTCATTTCAGAGAGATTTTGTTTTTCATATTTCTGAACACTTATTGAATAGCATTTTGAGAGTTATGAAGTTTGTCATTGTAGTGGGTGACAAAAAAAAAGCTTACGAATATTACATAGTTGCGAAGCAGTTTGATGAAGCAATGAAAACTATGAATGATGGACGAGTAACAGAATGTGAGGAGAATGAACTTCCACCTCTAGCCATTCCCTACAAATCAAGCAAGGTTAATTTATATTGTAAACGAGTATGAGCTGCGAAAAAAGTATCAGTTTGATTTATGTTACTAATATTTATAATAAGCAGTTCAGTGATTTCTTCTGCACAGGTTAACATTTAAGTATTGTGACTTATGAAATGAACTAAGCGTTTGCTCAAGCACTGTCATACGGCTATCATAAGATCACTTTCTCGTTAGTCCATCAAGGTCATCAGCAAAATGTTGAAAATTAACACTGTTTGGATCCCTGCGTCGTATCAGAGTATACGATTTCATTGTGGGAGGTGACAAAAGAAAAAAAGTTTATGAATATTACGTGATTGGGAAGCAGTTCAGTGGAGCAAATATATAAATGATATAGAAATCTGAATCCTGAAATTTATCATCCAATTGATTCAGGTGCGAGGCATTAAAACAAGGGATGATTTACTGTTTGCATTTTGCACAGAATTCATCCACCTCTTCTTTCTGTTTTGTTTAATTATTTTATCATTTCCTATAGATAAGAAATGTTTATTCTTTGGAGTTTAATTTAACCTATCACAAGTTATCTAGCTTCTGCTTTAAATTTTGAAACTAAAAGCGCGATAAGCTGAAAAGATGGTTGTATCCTGTGTAGTGCAAAGTCTTTAGCGTCTAAACGAACAACAAATCACCGTGTTACTTCTATAAAGGAAATATCGGTTAGCATTAAGTAAGATGTGGAATTACTATGCAGGATGAAGGAATCCATCCTCTTCCAAGGACTCTACTAGATGGACTGCAGCAGCGCATGCAGAAATACAAAGCTTTATGCGATCAGAGTCGTGTGGAAAACGATAACCGAAAATACAGGTATCTTTTTTGATAAATCCTGACTAGTTGGATTATTTCTTTTCAAGACTGTTGTCACTGTTCCAGCGAATAGCATTAAATAATGTACATTTTCATCCCTTTCGCAGCTTATCATTTTACTTTAATTTATTTTACTTTTAATCAGCTATATTTGTAGAATGAATGCTCGCATTTTGAAGCGATATGAAGATGCAATTGAAGCATGTCGTTCAAATAAACCAATTGATACGAGTGGACTGCCATGCCCTCCTGGATATCCACCTCTTCCTCCATTGGAAAACATGGCTGCTACTAGCACAAGTGATTTTTTGTGTATTTTTTGGGTCATTCGTCTTAATTGTATTTACTTCTGTTATAATAAACATACTATTTATGCATTAAATAAAATTTGAGATGGGATGGTGATGTCGCGAAGACCTTTGCGTGAAGTAGGATCACTTGGTGCACCAGAAGCGTCAATATCAGGAAAACAATCACGTCAAAAACAACAACTTGACTTTTTGCTTCAGCGACAATTTCAGTTTAAGGAAGCTGCTATTGCTGCAAAAAGAAATGGTGACGTAGCGACTGCCAAGAAATTTTTACTTGCTGCAAAGGTCTCTTTCACATTCTAATTTAAAGCTTGTAATTATAAATTATACTTCTTGGTAACATCGAAATATATTTCGGACATTTAATAAAGGTTAAGTTTTATAACTTTCAAAAGTTGTTGTTTCAGATAAAAACTGAACATTCCTTAATAAATTTTAGTTGTTCTTAATTAAATGCTGTCTTTAGGGTTTTGATAAAATGATTGCTGCCTCGAAAAATGGTTTGTCTGTTAATATTAAGAAAACACCTATGCCACCACAAGTTCGGACATCTGCAAGAATACTCAAGCCATCACTGGAACATCACACAAGTTTTGATGCTGCTATTAAAGGTGCTATTAAAGTGAATGGCTTCCAATATTTTGTTTTTTACTTTATTTTTTATTTTTGTATTTCACATACATATAATTTATCAACTTATTCAATATAGATACTTTATCTACTGCAGGGACATCTAGTGAAGTTTTTGCTACAATGGAAAGGGATCTCATTTGTCAAGTAAAGCTTTGCGAAGAATATAGATTTGCTTTTACTCAGTTAGTTTTGTTTAGCTTTTTCATAAAATGTTTTGCTTTAAACCGTGAATTTACGTATTAAAAGTTAATAGTCACAATTATAAGCATTCTCTTTTTAATCATTTGAAATAAATTTAAGGTAGTTTAACAGTTTAACTTCAGCTGATGTTTTTCAGTTACAAATTTTCTAGGTATTTTTCTAATAAATTGTACTAATATAAATCTATCAACTCTTAGATTGGGCGATGTAACTCGAGTGAAGATGTTGGAAACTTGGTCTGCCATTTCGAAAAGAGACTTAATGCTTTTACGCGAAGTTATGAAAAGAGGTGCAACAGTGCCGCAGTAATACATTTTTCTAAAGTTCATTGATTTCAAGATTTTCTTTGACATTCGATAAGTTTTATCAGTTATTTCAGATTTCACTCTGATTTCATTTTTTTTCAGGTTTCGATACGAGACTCGAAACATACCTTCGGTGGAAGTATGCTTTGAAGTAGATGAAAATCATATTGAATTGACAATAATGAAAATAATTGAAGCAAAATTACCAGCAGGTTCCTGTTCATCCTGTTTCATGTATTAGTGCTATTCCTTATTTGAGTGGCTCAAAGAGTAGGTATTACTAAAAGGATGGAATGGGCATCATCTCTTCTATCAAATCGTACTGTCATATGCACTTTTTCTAGTGATATTCTCTGCTCTTTTTCACATTAGAACGAATTTTAAATAGAATGGTACTACAGTTCTACCTTTCTATTTAAAATTCGTTATTTAAATAGAATGGTAGAACTAGAATGTGTTTTCTACTGCCGATGATAGCCATCTAATATTGCTCGAAAATCAGCCTTGTCTGTGCATTTCTGTAACACTAGCCATTGCGATATTTATGCAAGTTTTATGAAAATTAAAAGAAAGATGTTCCAGGTTGGAAAGCGTCTGACGGTTATCTGTTTGTAAAGTATAATTTTTCCTTTCCTCACGACGCTCATCAAACTGGTAGAACTAAAGTTATAGCTGCTACAAATTCGCCAGGTGTCCTATATTTGTTTGTTTTTTTTTTTGCACATACTCTGAAAAAGTGATAAACCATTTATTCTCTCCAGTGGAGTAGAAAGAAATGTGGAGTAGAACAGAATGAAATATTTATAAGTTGGTTTATTGCTGTGAACAGTTTAACAGTAATTGTTACAGCTAACAGAAAATATGAAGTGAATCAACTTATAGATAGAAAATATCTTTCCCTAGTTTCTTCCATTTAAAAAAAAATTATTATGTAGTTTTCACTTCATCTTTTCACCGGTATAATATATCATTTTCTCAATGATTGCTGAATGTTTTGTTGTGCAATTATTAATATGTTGTTCAGCTTTGATTGTAACCAGAAACTAGGTTTGATTGTAACCAGAAACTAGCAGAAACTAGGTATTTTCGGAAGAACAAGGCAAAACGAAAGAAAGACTGAGAAGGCCAAAGAAATAGAGGAGAAAGAAAAATGATAGACAAAGGGAAAAGAATTTATTATTAAATGCTCATCTGCACTATTACTTATTTGCAGCTTATTCTCTTATCGGCTTATATTTCACTTTTTTTTGTTTTCATTACAACTTTTTTTTATTTAGTGATATATTTTACATTTCGTTATTATTAGAATACAATCAAAAATTCCTGCTAACAATCAATCGGAAAACGAAGCAGTTGCAAAGAGTCATCAAAAGGAACTGCCTGAAATTTGAGGTTATTTTAAAAATAAATTGTCATTTTTGTCCTTCATGTTGATATAAACTATTATGTATTATTAAAAAAAAAAAAAAAAAAAAAAAAAAAAAGAAAAACAGGATTTACTTGTCTATTTCATCAACTGCACGATGCTTCGAGCAACAAGAAGAGTTGAAAATGAAGTAATCTAAATCTCCTAACTTGTATTTCATGTATGTCACGAAAGCAAAATTGTTCTTGTAGGTTTTCCATATAGATCGTGATATAATGTGTTAATAGAGGAATTTGTTTATTAGCTCTTATAGCTTTTTTTTCAGATTTACCAAAAAGGTGGTTTTTTAAGGAGTGACAAACTGATCGCTACTGCTGATTGTAAGTTGATTGATTTAGAAGAAAAAGTGTGCATTCATAAAAGTATAGATTTAATGGATGGACGAAAGCAGACAGGAGGGAAATTGATTTACCAGGTTATTTCTTGTTTTTAATATTTTAATTTCTTTTTATGTTTTTGAACAGCAGAAAAGTAAAATAGAATTCTGCATTCTTTTAAGGAATGACATCATCTATTCAGAATGGATTTAATTAAAGTGTTCAGTTCTTAGTAAAATTTCAGGTACGTGTTCGCGAGCCGTTGAGTGGAAAGAAGCTTTTAATGATGCAAAAAAAGTGGTTAATTCTGGAACTATGAACTCCTCGCGACCGCATTTCCTTTACAGTTGGCAATCAAACATGATGTTGTGAATTTTATGAAATTTAATTCGAATTTTACGGGTTTAGTCTTTAATATAGGTGATTTTTATAAGAAGTAATTTGTTGAATTGTGAATACTTTGTTAACTTAGCTTTTTTTCTTGTCGGTTTCATGCATGACCGATACTTAAATGTTACATAGTTTACATATAATCAGTTGCTGTTACTGCTGTTTCGCAATTTTTTATTTTTTGAGTGAAAATACCAAGGAATAGGAATTACTCTAACAGAAAAAGAAGTGCCAATAGTTAAGAGGCTTTTGATTTCTTTGATCATGTTATAATGTCATTATCTTCTTTCTGTTTCTTTCTTCCACCACTAAGATTCAATGGGATAACATAGCTTAACTTTCACCTGACTTTTATTCCTTTTTCTTATTTGTAAATATTTTTCATATTCTTTTAATTGGTACGATTTTATTTGTACGATTCTCAAACTATTTAGACGATAAAAAGCTGATCAGTGCAAGAGAATGTTCACCGCAGAAACCAAGGAATGCTATCGCGAATGAAAGAACTGAGTACTTGAAAATTTAGCAATGTTGGCTTGTTGCGCATATTGTTTTTGGAACGGAACTTAGTTTCTTAGATATTGCGGCGAAATTTTTTCAAGTTTTCTGAGGAATCATTTTTTCTGCCTGCTTAGCAACAGGACTTAATGATTCTGGAACTTCGGTTGCACACTGAATTCAGAATTAGTGAAAAATTCAAGTAGATGGCTGGCAGTGATAACGTTAATGTTTGCAATAAAATTTTTGTCTATTCTAGTTTGACAGTTCTAGTATTTGTCATGTTTGTAGAAATAAATTTTTCAAATGGTTTTGATGCAAAAATGGTGCATGTTGGAAATGCACATATACTGAATTTTATCCTTGTGAATGAATAGTTCTAGTGATTTGAAAAATATAATTGGAGGAGCTTTTATTTGAATATAAATTTTAGGATATTGAAGATGAAGTTTTTTTTATTCCGCCATCGGTAGTTCTATAATGGGGGCTTTTGATATGTTAATGTTAACGTTTTATCAAGTTCTGGAGTCACTGATTTTATCAGTATTGACTAGCTCGAAATATATTAGTGAAAAATGGCAGGGAATTTTGGATGATTCTAATGGCACATCAGTTCAAATCTATCTAAGCATTTTTAAATGAAATCTAGACGTTTTACATGAAAATAACGTGCTTTTGCACTAAATTGAAGTCAATGTTTGGGAAGGTGCCGAATTAAGATAAGGATCAAGGAAGTTAATTATTCCGTTATCAAAAAGAAACACGCAGTCACTTTTGAACTCAATATGCAAATTCAAATGTGCCTGGGCATAAGGTAGGTAAAAGTCGCATGAATTTCATGAAATATCATATTGCATTTTAAAACATCAAACAACTACTGTTCGTTCTACGTATTTTATCAACAACTTTAACTAAACAAAGCGAACTGCAAATTTTGACATAAAAGTGATGTTCATTTCTTGATAAGGAAGTTTTCTTCATTTTCATCAAAACCCACTAATCCTGTTTATTGTTTTGTGATATTAAAATCCAAAACTGTCGCATCACATCAGTGAATTAATTTGTGAATTTAATCTTACTCTTAGTTTAATTAAACTTATATCAAATCTCAAAATATTGCAAATTCACTATTTGGATTATCATTTTCTCTAACTATGACTATAATGGAACGGAATTAAACGTCTCGAGGAACAGAGTAAGACTATAATACAACAACTTAAATATGCTACGTTGAATAAATTCATATACAATTATCAAAGGAGTTCCCAACAGCCAACAAGTTATGTTACATTTTCCACCAATCGAAAAATAAAATCAAACAGAAAATAAATTGCGGGAGAGTAATGACGCAAAGTGAATTATGAGAGTCCACTGTTCGGTTTGGCATATCCTGGTGTACGGGAACGTTCTTCTCATATCGCGTAGAATGAACTAGACTAACTTCGTCGTTAAGATGAGCTGAGCTAACTTCAAATCAGTACTACTTGTTTGGACCAACATAAATTACCCTTCGGGGTCTGTCGTTCCTCCGTCAAACTTTTGAATGAACAGACGGGATATCCGAGTTGCATTAACACTACCTGTTTTCAAGGCCGGCGGCATGCAAATTCAAATTTTCTACGCGGGAGAGAGTTATTTGGGCGGTAGGCCTAGCTATGTGGCCATAATTTGTCTAAAGGGATAAAGGACTGGACTATAATTGAGCCTAATGTTTGAACTAGAATTAAACTGTCTTTGTGAATTAAGATTTTTAAAGTAGACGAAGAAGACAAAAGCAACATATCCTCTAGAAATGTCTGGCAATTCTCTCCACTCACGTTCTACTCGTTCGCGACTTCATCTTCGTTCCACCACTTCGAGAAGTCCTCCAAGTTTACATGAAACACTTTCTGAAGCTTCCGATAATTCGACGCGAACTACACAGCAAAGAACTGCGAGAAATGCTTCCCAAAGTAGAAGTTTACATCGAACTGTTCAGCAACCGCTGTTATCACAAGAGCAAATGATTGGTAATTTTTACGGAATTTTTAAAAGTGCACTGGTAGGTAGCGTGCTTCCTGACATTAACATTGCAGTTAAATGTCCAAAAGTTATCACCAGAATGTGTTATATTTGCGAATTCTTTTACCTTTATGACGATTTTCATGCTTAATACATTATTTTTTATCGTAGTAGAAGGAGGAAATACCTTAAATACAGAGCAGGAAGCAGTTCAGCGCGGTCAAAGTGATCGCCATTCACCAACACGATCACAACTAACCGGTAAGTGATACTTTTTTGATATTAGATGTTAGTCCAAATTTTATTGTTTTCATTAGTCTAGCTTAAATATCAATCAAATCCAAAATAGTTAATTTTTTATAAATTCGAGTTGAAAAAAACGAAAACTTCGTTTTTGCTTTAAAAAGATATTCGAATACTATTGCAGTGATGCGAATACTAATGCAATATCTCTGATAAAACATGATTAATATAGCGCAGAATGATATATCTCATTTAACATTTCAATACATTACAGATGAATAATTTGGAATATGTTTGAACCTTGAGCTTCACTGAAGGAGAGCACTGTATAAAGCAAACAGTTAAACAGTGTTCACTTAGTAACATTCAGTAAATACTTTCATTTCTTGGTATTCAGCATCAGAATATTCCTGATAAATGTGCGACATATATATGATTTTGTTCTATTTTTAGAATCAAGTGCACTTCAGTATGGTTCTGATTTCGACACATCAAGTCAAGTGGGCAGTACAGTGTCATGGCAGCGAGCAGTGCGACATATGCGATCTGATATTAATTGTGCACCATCTCAGCATCGTACTATTTGCATCGATAGTATGGAAGTTGGTTTCAAAATATCTCGAAAAAATACTATGTTTTGTCACATTTTCTTTTTTCTTGTTGAAATTCTGCTAACAAAGATTAAACATTTGTCTTTAGGACGATCTTTCTATTGATTTGGAACCTGGTCCAAAGCTTTACATTTGGGGAACGCGTATCTGCGTTTTTGATGTGCAGCGTGCATTTCGCACTTTCGTCAATGAATTTAGACCAACAAGTGTTTCAGATGATGAAAATGTGCTTACGCTTCCATCAAATGTGCGAATGGGTAAGTGAACTAATTCGTAGTGGTACTAATGAGAATTTCACAGAATTCAATGTACGAATTTATATAAATGGTGTGTTTCTCTAACTATAGTATGATGATACCAATAGTAATATAGTAATTTCTTTTGAATTTAATCACCAAGGAATCTTTTATTTTACAGACAAATTCTTAAACTCTAAAATATGATAATTACATGTACAACATTGGTTTTAAATAATGTTGAATAGAATATGAAGTAACAATGAAATTTACGAAAGACAGCATAAAATTGTTTCATTTTTAGAAATTGATTTGGAACGGCCATACTATTTGGAGCGCCTGTATGAAATTGACCAGAGTGAGAATATTGCTTTTAATTTGAATTTGCAACACGTCAAACTGTTCAGTGAAGCATTATATCGAAAAATTGTTTGCTATCCGTCGGTAAACAACTTTTCTACTTCTGTTTTTATACTTGTATGCTTCTTAATAATGCATTTTCTTTAAGTGTGTTGCTGTAAATAAGTGAAAGTAAATAATAATAAATCATAAGTTAAGATAAAGAGCAGTTTTCATCTTAAATTATGTCTTTGTATGTCTAAGGCCTTCACATTTCACATCTTTTTCAACTTATAAAATTGTTATGAATTTGAGGATGTCATACCATATCTTGATCTGACGATAAACGAAATATTTTCCGAGAAATACCAAAAAGTATTATATGCTCCGATTGAAGTTCGGCCATTCAACGCGCAGAAAACACGTAACATGCGTGCACTGAATCCACAGGATATCGATCAGTTAATCACCATTGGTGGTATGGTTATACGAGCCTCACCATTGATCCCTGAAATGAGGCAGGCATATTTCCAATGCACTGTTTGCAATTTTCCGGTAATTTCTATCTAAGTTGTCGTTAAAAATAAGACATTTTAATATATTCTGCTCTTCTTTTGGAAATGCACAAAATATAACAATTACTCGGATCACAATTTTCAAGTTTTGAAAAATGAAAAAGTAAGAAATTTTCATATTTTTAAATCTTTCCTTTAATTTTTATAGAATATAACAAGTGTTTTCAGGTTGATGTTGAAGTAGACCGTGGTCGAATTGAAGAACCAGCTGTATGTCGTAACTGTCAATCGAAGTATTCTTTCCAGCTAGTCCATAATCGTTCTCTTTTTATGGATAAACAGATAGTTAAATTGCAGGAGTCTCCAGGTGTGTCGTGGGTTTATAATCATGAATTTTCATAATATTATTCATAACATAAAATTTTATCGCTTGACATAGATTTTAAAATTTGGTTGAAATGTCCGTAGCAGTTTAAATGCTTTTTTTGAAGTGGATGTCGATTTGCTCTCTTAATACAGCATTACACTGGTTGATCGAGCAATCTTCATGATATAGTTTAATTTTTTTTTATTTAAATTTGAGTGTGAAAAATTTAGCTGATGAGTTTATTTTGAGATGACATGCCCGCTGGACAAACACCACATACTGTAACATTATTTGCACATGGTGATATGGTGGAACGTGTTCAACCTGGTGATCGTGTAACTGTTACGGGAATTTATCGTGCCGTACCGGCACGCGTAAATCCACGCATGCGAAATGTTAATTCCGTTTATCGTACCAGTATCGATGTGTTACACTTTCGAAAGACTGATCAGAATCGCCTGCATCAAATCGATGATGGGTAGGTGATCATTTCCGAAAGTACAAAAAAAGGTTTAGCAGTTAAGTTATAGATTAAGAGCAGAATATCACCCTAAACTTTTTTTGGATTATTTCATTTAAATATCTTGTTCCCGAACTTTTTTCAGAACTCATTTAACAGATGAAAGAGTTTGCATGATCATGAATTTGGCAAAACGAACCGACATTGTTAATTGTTTAATAAATGCTGTTGGTGAGAAGATCTTCTCTTCTTAATAATCATTTTGTATCCTCGCATCGCATTTTTACATTTTTCTCAAATTAAGACTGCTTTCACACTTTTTTATTATTTACGGTTTAGCTTGCATTTTATGGTTAGTGCTTTTACATTTAATGTAACAACTCTGAGATCCTTGTGGAGATTTCAATTTCTTTTTTCAAGATGAGGTTTTCTGTAAAATCCAGAAACTATTCATTTAGAAAACGTGATAAGAAATATTGGTAATTTTTTTGTCTACTGTAAAAATCGTTATCCCACATTGAGCTCCTTCAATCTATGGCCACGAGGATATTAAGCGAGGTATTCTGTGTTTATTGTTCGGTGGTGCCAACAAGGAGGATAAAACAGGTAACAAAGTTAAGCTGCGAAGCGAAATAAACATACTGCTATGCGGTGATCCTGGTACTAGTAAAAGTCAGCTTCTACAAGTGAGTTTTATTGTAGTAACAGCTACCTATGACAATTTATGCAGACTTTTTTTTTTTGTTCACCATTTCATAGTTTTCTGTATGTAAACTATGTGATGTAAATCATTTTTTCGTTACTTTTGTGAGTACATTTTCGAACTTGAAATAATGGATATAATACTAAATTACAAGGAAACTGAAAGACGAACCTGAAAAAAAAATCATGACTTTGAAATTTAAAAAAGTGAAATCTTGATAAATACTGTTGGAATTGAATCGACACTTCATGAGCATTTTCGTACGAGTAATAGTGATAACTCATGATAAATTTCAGTATGTGTATCGACTTGTTCCGCGTGCACAATATACATCGGGAAAGGGGTCTTCCGCTGTTGGGCTGACAGCATCTGTCGCTCGTGATCCCGACACGCGTCATCTTGTACTTCAAACCGGTATATTAACGTATTACTACTACAAAAGAAGAAGCAAAGAAACAAAATAACTGAAATTTTTGTTTCAGGTGCACTTGTTTTAGCAGATAACGGAGTATGTTGTATAGATGAATTTGATAAAATGAATGATAGTACGCGTTCAATTTTGCATGAAGTAAGTTAAAATATGGTTAATTCGTTTTTTTTTTTTTTTTACTGGGTGGATTATGTGGATTTTCATACATTTTCTATTATTTCTATTTTCTGTTCCATTTTAAAATGAGCTTTTTTTTTTTTTCTTTTTTTTTTTTTTTTTTTGGTAATTACTACTTATTATTTACTAGTTATTAACAGTAGAAAAGAAAACTGAAATTTCCAAATGAGGCGATTTTGAAAGATAAAGGAATATGAATAATTAAATTGTAGAGTACAAGCACTATGTGTTGGTTTAATATGTTGTTAAGTCGTTCATTGATATAAAGATTTTGTAACAGTATATTTGTTTATAGGTAATGGAACAGCAAACACTTTCAATAGCAAAAGCTGGAATTATCTGTCAGCTAAATGCACGGACTTCAATTTTGGCTGCTGCAAATCCCGTAGACTCGCAATGGAATCAGAATAAAACCATTGTTGATAATATTCAGCTACCTCATACATTGTTGTCTAGGTCAATATCGGCTTTCTAGTTTTTGTCTTCAAAAATTTTCATATTTGTTGGAATTTCATTTTTGGAATCTGTGAAATTTTCAGACGTTTTACCGAACAGTTTTCAGATTCGATTTAATTTTTCTTTTGGTTGATTCTCAGAATGAATTATATGATCGACGCTTAGCTAATCATTTGGTTTCATTGTATTATAGAGAAACTAACAATGAGGGTTTGTAATGTTGAATTTCCTTAAAGCTAGGCTGTGTGAATATTAATCGTTCTTTTTTTTTTTGCAAATACGTGGAAGACAATGGTTCATGCTATTAAATGGAGTAAAATTTTTAAATGTGCAAGCTACATTTGAGTATTGTAGGATGTGAACTGCTGGATTTGGCTCTTTTGCGTGATTACATCGGATATGCTCGATCTTATGTTAATCCACTGCTGAATGAAGCATCTTCGCGGTGCCTTATTGATAAATACCTTCAAATGCGAAAAGCTGGATCTGGTTTTGGACAAGTAGATTTTTTTTTATTTCAGTTTTCTTTTAGCGCGCACCTGCATTATCGACATCGATTTGATTTATTGCAATTTGCAGGTTTCTGCCTATCCTCGACAACTGGAATCATTGATTCGTTTGGCTGAGGCTCATGCGAAAATTAGATTAAGTAGTGTGGTATCAGTACAGGATGTTGAAGATGCATATAGGCAAGTAGATTTGTATTGTTATGACGGTTTAATCAAAAACTTTTATTTGACTGAAGTTTTAAAAGAATAAACTCTACTGTATTTTTAATTTAGAGATAAGATTTTCGGTTTTAGATTAACACCTTTTTGTTTTCATTTTTCATGAATTTCAGCTTATATCGCGAAGCCTTGAAACAGTCAGCAGTGGATCCGTCTACCGGTCGAGTTGACATCAACATTTTAGCTGCTGGAATTAGCGCAACAACTAGACAAATCATCGATCAGCTGGCTGAAGCGATACGTGGTGAACTTTCGCAGCGACAAGGAATTTTGATTTCACTAAAGAAATTAATGCAACAGTTACGTCAAAACGATTTGGTAAACTTCTAAATTTTTTCATAATTTTCTATGGTATCTGAATTTTTAGACTTGATGATTTTGTATAGTTTTGAAAATAGTGAATTTCAAATACTGGTTAATAAAGGTAGCGCGCCATATTCGTAAAAGGAAGCAGATTTCAAAATTAATCAATCTATGGATTTATAATTGGATCCCTGCAAGTAATATTAGAAAATTGCTTTTGAAATGTTTGTAGTTGTGATCTACCAATATTGCTTTAATTTTTGGGACCAACTCGCTATTTGATACTGTTTTTTAGTCTTTTACGAAAGAATTATTCGATGAGGCAGTCAACAACTTGATCAAAAACGAAGTGTTGGTTCGTACTGGTGACAAAATACGATATGTTGCGGCAACCTAATTTCCTATTCTCATATTATCTTTTGGGAGCAAAAAGAATAGTCTAAGTTATAAGTGAGAAAGTGAACTTTTTAGTGGGATCTTAAGAAGTTGATAAAAATCTGCGATCATGTTAATCAAAATTAGGTAGTTTTATCTGATGCAGGTGAATTGGGTAATATAATGTATTCTTAGCATGAAATAGATTTCTGCAAACAAATTATACTTCTATTTAAGAAAGAGTAATTAGGAAATCAGGCATTTGATTTTGAAAGTGAGCATTCTAAAAGTGTGCTTCATATTGGTTTTCCATTATTTTTGATCGGTATATCGCTAACTGTCGTGAAAGATTATCGTTGGTTTGTGAAATAATATATTTAGAAAGACTTACCTTAATTGTTGTATTCCCGTTAAACGTTAAAGGTAGTAGGCGTTAAACACGCTATTATTTATAATACAGCAGTGAAATTATCGTAAGCTTATTTTCATAAAACGAATATCAGTAATTTGAGCGGTAAAAATAGATTTTAAAAATGGAGGAAAGTCAATTGTTTTGGAGAAGAGGAAATTGAGTTTGGTTGTGATCAGTGTGGTCAACAATAATAATCCTGTTTATTACTATTTATATGTATAAGAATTGAGGGTGTCTACGATAAGACCAAATGAGATAAGAATTCGAGATGTTTACAACAAGATCGTATAAATAACGGGTTAAACAAGCATGTGATAAATTCCATATGCAAGGAATGGGAGTTAATTTTAAAATAAAAATAAAATCACATGAGTAATAAATCTGATGATTGCAGTTATTGTTTACCGTAGGATTGTTTACAATTTAGGAAATAATTTATTAGTTTTTCTTTGAATTAATTTTATAATTTTGGTCGGAGTTTCGTGAAATTATAATTCGCGACACTAACTCGATTATATCATTTTTTATGTACTACGTTTTAACTTTTGACAAATACTTCCTGTTAAAACTAAAACGCTTATAAATAAAGTTACAACCATTTTCTTACTGCTGCTTATCTTTATAAGTCGTCATTATTTTTGTTGTTCATAATGTTCGATTTTGACATTTCTATGTTTTGCATTTTTTCAAATGAACAATTCCACTGCTCAGTAGGATGCATTTTACATTCAAATTACTTCGTACTAGTTATCATACTAATACTCCAATAAATTCAATGACACTTATTTTATTCATGACTTCAGCTGTGTTTAGTTTTGATAGTAGAACACCGGTCAATAAATCCAAGTAGAACAAGTTCCGTTGTGTTGCTTATATCTTCAAGTGGCAGTGTCAATAAAGGAATCTATTTTTCCTAAAATTTATAAATTTCTTTGTCCTTTGAAAATTATGACACTTTCGAAAATCCGTTTGATGCGTAGTAAGGTTTTTTCGATAAAGTGGGAATTTCTCTCTAATTCTTCTGTGTAACACATACTGGCAAATGCAGTAAAAGTTCGCATATTACAATACAACTTAAGTCGACTACATTATAAACAAGGGATGACATCACTAATGGTCTATTCCCATAAATTTGCATTTGCTTCAAGGAAAATATTAATTAGGACAAAACAAGCTGGTCCAACGATCTCTGCAACAACCATTTAAAAACTTAATTTTCAATTCAGATGTTTGTTCCTCTCGATCCAGTCTTCTAATGCGCTTTTTCGTTTCTTGGTGGAACGCGGACTGTTTGTTGTTCACTGCAGTCATATTTTAATCAATCCAGTAAATTAATTGCTCTTATCTACTTGTAAGTATATTTGGATTATCCATAGATGTGTAGAGAGATTCTTCTAGCTTTTTTTCCACTAAGAAATCGTAAAGGTTTAAATTAAAGTTAAATGTATTTATTTATCTGGTAATTTCATAGATTTGTGGGAAATTTGACGATTGCAACATAATAGCGTCTTAATGTGCAATGAGCAAATTAAAGGACTCTTAATTCCATGCAGTCATTGTGAACCCCGTAAAACAGAGCAAGGGGACTTTCTAAAGAGAAGCTGTTTCATTCTCATTTCGGAGATCCTGAAATGTATGGAGAATTTCAGGTGAATGCAGCTGTTTTATAGCAATGGTTTGGATTTTTCATGTAGTTGTCTCCTGCCACTATTGTTACTAACCGTTGTGAAGTCGGATCGGGAACATGTCGAGCATGGTTTCAGTGGGAAATTTAAGAAGGAACATAGTGCCGAAAGCGATCAGCATAACATCCATGCTGATCATAAAGTTGTTATAGGTATGTAAATCAGTGGTTTTCATTTATATTGTTCTATTACTAATCTGGACATGCATAAAATGATGTCATATTTATGCCGTTTCTCATCGATTATCACAAAGAGGAAATTTTTTTTTGTGTGGGGCAACTAAACTGTCATTCAGTTCTATAAAAACTTATGCTAAAACTGTGTTAATATATATTTATCCTTCAGAGAATCCAAGTTAGCAAAGCCTACTGTAGCTTATCTCTGCACTTCATGAACATACAACCTTTAGGTGATTGTTTACGATTTCTGTGTAGGAGCGTGATTTATAGTTTTCGTATCATCAGTCTGTCATTTTCTCTTTCGAAATGGTTAGGTTTTAACACTTTAGTGTACAAATAATGGAGTTTGTTTGGTGTACATTGGTGTACTAGTAGTAGACTTTGATCTTACGTTTTTGATTTAGGCTCTCGAAAAGAAGCCGAAATTTTCGATGATTTGAGTCCTGAAGAAGCAAAACGACGGCTGGCAGTTTTGGCTAAAAAAATGGATAAAGATGATGATGGATACGTAATCCGGGAAGAGTTAGAGCGAGTGATCAAGCAGTATATTCCTTTTTCTGACTGTTACCGATTGTTTTGTAACTAGCTAAATAGAGATGAATACACAGTGTAACAGCACAATGTCTCTGAAAAAATTCGTTGGTTACATAATTTGCTTGAGGAACATGATTTCGTTGGATTTGGAGGAATCAAATGATCGATTTCGAGAGATGGATACGAATCAAGATAATTTAGTAACATGGGATGAATATGTGCAGGAATCGTTTGGTGATATCGACCCGGAGAATGAGGTTAATTTTTCTCGTTATTTTTTTCAAAATTTTCTGCGAAGTAAAATGGGTTTTTGAAAGAAATTTAAATCTTAAACAAATTTCATATACAAATAGAGCGATCTTAAACTCCTTGTTCATCCTGCAAGTGTTTTTTGCATATATCGTTTTTTCAGAATATTTCAATTTGACGTCGAGATTAACATATGCTAAGTTTTATTTTTGCCCAATTAGCACTTTGATGTTTGATGCTAAAGATGTTTTAAACTTAAAGTCATTACTTTAGTGGAAAGATAAATGAGAATGCTTACTGGGAATCAGTTTACTTGCATTTTATACTATTTGTTTAGAAGAATATACAATAAATTTCAATTATTTGAATATTTGAATACTGAAGTCTTCTCAGGAAATTATTTATAATGTCCTGTTATGCTGTGTTATCATTCCTTTATTTGTTATGACTGAAATTCTTCATTCAAGGCAGATTTCCTCCAAATTTCATACTTTATTCCTTCGAAAACTTGTAAAATGGTCCATTTTTGTTGATGGCAGCTCCATCGTTTATTAGTGAGACAGCTACCTTTCGTTACCTTCAGAAGAAAATTGTATGAATTCAATCTGTAAAGAAACTACACAATGAGATAGAATGAATTTCTCCTCTTCATCTCCGTCATAGATAGTCTTTATATACTAAACGTATCTTTAATCTTTAGATTATGGATGCAGATGACAAACGTTTGTTGGAGGATGATAGGAAATTTTTCTCTACAGCAGATCAGGATAAAGATGACAAGTTATCGAATGCAGAATTTCATGCCTTCCAAAATCCTGAATCTTTTCCACACATGCATGCAGCTTTAATTGAGGTAACATTGTGAGATTTAACCCTTTCTTAAGAATTTCATATATAAATGCTTGCATAAAGGATGTCATTCGTACATGCGCTACACCGGATGGTAATACTGATGCAAGCTTTAATAATTTAAAACTCGATTGAACTAAAACTAAGTTACTACCCGATATTGAATCGCGATACTTCTAACTTTTGAAGTTATGATGCTTAAGGTTACTATGAAGGAGAAAGATAAAAACCACGATGGAAAAATTACACTGGATGAGTTTCTGGATGATCTAGCAGGGGACCAGAAATCCGACTGGTACATGGTAGAAAAAAATCGTTTTGAATATGATTATGATAAGGATAGAAATGGCGTTCTTGAGGGTGCAGAAATTGCATCTTGGCTTGTAATGAATTTAGAAACAACTGCAGCTGAGGTTTGTAAGATTTTTCATTCATTCATTCATTCAGATTGATTTTTTGGATGCCATGCTTTTCGTTGGTTACTATTATAAGTTCAAATTTTTATCTAATCAGCTTGAAATAGGAAATTTTTAGTCGGGAGTAATTTACTAAAATTATTTGGAAGAATCGGAAAGAGTAATTCATTAAAATTATTTGGAAGGAAAAAATAATTATTTTTTTCACATTAAACAGAATAGTCAGAGTTACTCAGATATGTTATGTAGGATTTCTTAATTAATGTTGATTCATAAGCGTTAAACGTTTTCCTGTGCAGGAAGTAGAACATTTAATGTCGAAAGCAGATAAAGATAACGATGGTCGTCTATCTATTGATGAAATTATAAGCGAATCAGATCTGTTCGTTGGTTCTGAAGCAACAAATCATGGCGAAAATTTGGTTGACCTATTACATGACGAGCTTTAATAATAATGGTGAATGAGTAATAACTGTTATCATTGTATATTTTAAGTTTTGTTGAGACTACGTTTCATTAACTGATATTGTCACATGTTATTCCGAGCATAATATGTTGATGGGATTCTTTAACCTAATTTTAACAATTCCTTGCAAGAATTCCCCGATCTTTTTCAAGTTTTAAATGAATCTGACTTATTCTTACAAAAAAAGGTTGCAAATCCCGCTCCTAGATTTCTTGGCCGCTTTTTCTGAGGAATTTAAATCACTGCACAAAACTTCATTTGACATTTCGTTGCTCGGTATAAAAGTCCTAACGACGAGATGCCTAGTGAACAGTGGTGACTTAAAAAACAGACAGAACCTACACTTCAGGAACAGTTTATTTGCACTTCCAATGCATAGCATGAAAATACTCTGTGCTATGTTTTACCTCTTCCATTATGTGTATTTCCCCAAAATATTTTGAAAAATCGAGAAAAAAGGTAAGACCCCCTAGAAACAAATAAGTCGAAAGTTTACCGCGTATTTGTTTATTTTGTAGGTCCTTTAATCATACCTAATATATATATATATATGCATATATATATATATATATGCAAATTGGACTTTTTAAATAATTTCACGATATTAGATTTACGATGTTCATGTACCATGAAACTTTATGGCATCTCCACTTCTATTTGGCCATACAGTTTGTAATACGTTTGAAAGTACTAGTATTGCAGATAAGAATACGGAGGAAAGAGAAGGCAAAGAGATCTAGATACATAAAAAGCACTTTAGAAAAAAAAAAAACTTCATATCATTACAAAACTTCATAACACTGAATGAAGTTTTTAGTAAGAAGTGAGTTTGTTCGTAAACATTAAATCTGTATAATTGGTTTCTCTAATCAGTAACAGCATATGCACATATATTATATTACAAGTATTCATAAATGTAGTATATATATCAAGCTAAAAGAAATGGAGAAAAAATGAGAGTACATTCAAGAAAGGCTAATAAAATACTTCTAATAAAATAACATAAAAAATCGGAACAATACCCGTTCACGGACCATATCCAATAATAGTAGCATTCTGTAGCAAGTTAAATTTGGAAAAATAAAAACGTCACATTTTAAAAGGCAAATTGGATCATGTAGTTGGCAACACAGCCTAACAAAAGCAATATAGATGAAAGGTAGTTCCGTAAGATAAGAAAATTAGAAAACCGAAGATTCTTCAAATTTACTGGGTAATTTGTTCACATATAGGACTATTCTCTCACTATCTATAAAAGGAATAAAAAGTGGAAGAGAAATAGCAATTCGTGCATGAGTAAATGCTAGATCAAATGAATCCGACTGTATCAATTTAGTTGACAGTGATGATGAAGGTCAGCTTTCTCCCATAAAAAGAAAGGAATTCAAGACGAAAGACAAAGTGGAGAATTGAATTACATGATTTTTCGACTTAAAGTCATTTCTCCTTTCAAAAGAATCTAAGTGGTCAATGCTGTTCAAGTAAGTGTCTTACGATGACTTATAAAGACTTCAAGTTGTCTATAGAGAAGTGAAATCAATCAACACCGGAAAAAATTTCCGAGTTCTCAATTGCCGTTGTCAGTCGTTCCTTCATTTCATGAAAACTCGTATACGGTGGTAAATCGATTCGGTTGAAACTGAAAGAAATAATGGTTAATGGAAACAAGTCGCTTAATGACTATAAATCGCAATACTAAGGTCTGTAAAAACTGCAGGTAATAGGCTGCTTCGGGAACTCTGTGAGAACTTTTCCGTCAGTTATTATATTATTATGGAAAAATACAAACAACAGCATACCAAGTATGCGCTCGCGGCAACATGTCTGCACTGCCCCAGCGTTCAATTGTAAATTTTTGGGGCCCATTTGAGCCATATAATTCGCGAAAACCATTCATTGGAACACGAGAAGTACCAGTAACAAATTGCAATAGCCTCGCACGCATTTCATTATTAAATGCAAGCAAACACTTCCAGAAGTTTTGAATTACCTAAAATCTCATAAATAATTTTGGCAGCAGAACATCTATTAAACTAGAATTGCTAATAAAAATTTGGATATTTTCAGATTTTGGATATACCATAATATAATATGGCATAACTTATACTTTCTCTTGAGAAACTTCTGTGTTTTAAATATATTTCCAAAATATCAAGAAATCACCGGGTGACTTGGAGAGTAGCCACCTTTGTACAAAGTATTGTCTTTCCAGTCTTTAACGTCAATTTTTTGTAAGCCACACACAAGCAATTCAAGCTCATTCGGATCAAAAATTGATAATAAATTTGGTGGTATCAATTCATGAACTCCCTTCATCAGTGCTTTCATTTGTTCTTCAACGCGACTAACAAAGCGCCACTTGATGATTAAATCAATATATTCGTCTTTATTTGCATCTGTTACTTTCTCCTCCGCCCCTCCATCTCGAAGTTCTACGCTATTCATCTGAAATGTCTCTTCATCTGTCCTTGACTAGGTTTAAAGTAGAAAAATTTCATAAAACGATTTTTAGAATAAAATTTTTGATTATTGAAAAAATCATATGCAAAGATAAGCCGCTTTGAATTGTAATTTGCAAATGATATTCTGAAAAAAGCAACGACCTAATGCAAAAATATATAGTAAATACAGTCACCTTTCCAAAAACATCCTCGTCCACTGCAAAATGCAAATCCAAATCTTCTGGATTATTATCTTTGATGTAGATTAAGGAATTGAAATATTCATTATCAACAGATTCCATATCATTCAGTGTGATTGGTTTACCCAACATCATCTTATAAAATGGTCGAATAAAAAATGCTGCAAAAAATTGCGAGAATAGTGTTGCAAAACTTGAATATTTAGAAATGCAAACGTAATACAAATCCAACATAATATACAGTAACTTATATTTTTTTATAAAGTATAAAATCTCGACTACAAAATAAAACTAAATAAGCACGGGTTCTGTTATGTGTAGAAAATTTTACCATCAAGCAATTTTCCGTGATAAATAGCAATGCCGATAACACGACCAATAAAATGGAAATATGACAAGTGTTCCGGATTACAAGTCTCCGAATGTGGATTTATTTGTAAAGTATAATTATCTCTGAAATGAGAATACATAGTTAAATTCAGAAAATGTTAGTGAGATGAAGCCAAACTTTTCAAAACACAGAATTCCGCCTTCCTTGCCTCACTCAGTTTCACGTATGAGTCGTGCGCTGCGAAACTCCGAGCACATATGCATGTCCTGGAGGCATGATTCTACATTACAGATCTCGTCTTCAATTCTCGCCCATACCTTATAACTACGCTCAATCGTCTTCGTCTGGACTCTAGAAACTAATCATGAAAGTTGCACTGATAAAAGTACATGTGACATACGTTGCTGAATATTCAAAAAGACCGTAATAAGGACTGAAAATGTCATGAGAAAGTAAATAAAACCATTCGCGAGCTACTCCACCGTAATCTAAACCTGTTTCATTTTCGAATTCAATCCAAAGTTTAGCACGCAAAAGGGTAGGAGATAACTGCATTATCTGCCTGAAATAAAAACTGATGAATCGACTTAGGTGTTTCAGGATATACAAAATAAATCTATTTTTGATTCACTCAAGTGCAAAAATTATTGAGGAAAAGTGACACCTATAGGAATCTTCGAACAATTGAATTCGTCGCACAGTAATTTCACATTTAATATTGGTAGGTGATTTCGGGAGATGTGACCTCAGATACTCATATTTACATTTATAATCACGCGAATACGGAACAGCTGGACCGGCAATATTTGTATTCTCAAATCTCGGATCTTCCCACTGTGTTTGGCGAGTGTTGTGGTCAATGTAAAACATTCTACCATCAGCATGAACCCTCTTTTCCCAACCAGCGGGTAATTCACCCAATTCATCGCTCCGCACTTCTATAATTGACAAATTCATATCACGTTCTTTTACTATTTGATGTTATGCGATGCGCAGAATTGACCAACTTCAAATTTTCAAACTTATCTATTTCACTTGAATCTTGGAGAAAAAGAACTCGAAAAACAAACAGCATCAATTTCCTTTTCTCCTACCTTTCAAATAAGAAGTGGTTGAAGCTTGTCCATCTCTTGGATCAATCCAAGTTGTTGTTTTGTGTATATGATCAATGAAAAATGTCCGTCCATTTGGTGCCACTTGCATATCCCAACCCTGTGGTAATAGCCCATGACCGTCATTCGGATCAATTCGACCTCCAGATTCAAATTTTGTTCGCAAACCAACTTCCAACTGAATTAAGCTTAAGTTTAAAAAACTTGAGAATGAGGAAAGTCTTCGTTATTTGAGAGCTGATAAAAAAGGAGGAAAAAACCCATGTGAATGAACCAGCAGAAAGTAGAAGTACATAATATGAATTGTAAATCTCACTTCGTATTTCAGAAAATCAAAATGCACATTTAACGTTTTGGAAACTACGGCCAAACATCAAGAGCTCATAAACAATTAAAGCTGAAAACGAATGCATAGCAAGCTTAAATACCAACATTAGCAATACTATCCTCAACATCTTCACTAGAACCTTGCCAACGACTTTCATAATTCCTGCGCAAAGCATCTTCTTGCTCTGTTTCAACCGACTCGGATTCCATGCCACTTCTAACAATATAGTTGTTATTTATTTCATTAATTTCATCAAAATACGAGGGCTGAAAACGTATTACTTCCTTAACACAAAACAATAACCAAAAAAAAAAAAAAAAACAGAAACAAAAGTTTACCTAGTAGGTCGCATCCACTGTGTAGTTCTCGATATATGATTGACGTAAAATGTTCGACCATTTGCATCTTGTCGTTCTTCCCAACCTGTAATGCGTTTCTTGTCGCATTTCTTTGTAAGGAATGCGTGCAATAAAGTTTAACTTCAAGATGATTCTTAGAAATCCATCTGTGATCATGTTGTAAATATTACCTTCAGGAAGAGATGTTGAGTCCTGTCGGTTGGCTAAATTGCTAGCGCGCAACTGCTCCCAATCACCATCATCATTAGCAGAGCTATGATCCGCAGCTGGCTGTGTAGAATCAGTGACATATGAAAGTGAAAGACGTACGCTACCCTGAACTGAAGAATAAAAGCGATGTGAACGAGCACTCAGTATATACGACGCTTCTAGAACTGATAATCCGACCAATTCATGCGGGATATGTATCTGCGCTAAATTAATTTCTACCATTCCAAGAAAATCATCGCGTGTCTGTAAGAAATAAAACAGTTGCAAAATCTTTAGACTACGAGAGAAACCGATCTACTGCTGATAAAAGAATGTTAAAATGAATCGAATAGATCATTGTGTGCGCTCCTTTATAAGTGGTGGCAATGTGGTTGTTTCATAGTTACATTCAAGAACATATCAGTTCACCAACCTTCTCTATTAGAATTTATACATTTATCTCCAAATAATGATAAAATATTTTGCACCGACATATAATTTGAATTTTAAATAAACTCAATTCTAAAGCCAACACTTTAAAACATTTGAAATAGTGACTTTAAAAAAGAGCTCAGTACACATTCTATAATGAGGAATAAGAATTAAATTTTGCATGAAAATCACAAAAATATTGTGGAAGATTTAAAAGTGTATAAACAAACTAACAATACGCCTCTCATCAAAAATTTGCACCGCTAATATGCAGTCTTTGCGTACCACGCGAAATACAAATTCTTCATTCCATACTGGTTCACGAGTCTAAATACGCATGAAATTCAAGTTGTGTGGCTTAGTCTTAGGCATTCTGATAAAACAACACACTTATACGATTCACCATTTTTAGCTAAAAGCTGCAACAACACCGACAGATTCAAAATGATACTTTTTTTACTCCTAATTTTTTAAAAACTGCTTTAAAACTGCTTTGGACCACGGAAACAGAAAATTAGACATAATGTGAACATGGTGCAAATCTTATATCAAGATCAATTTCTACAAACAACAACTGACGAAACAACTAGTGAAAAGTAATAAGCATTACACCATCTCCTAACCATTTTCTCTCTCTCTCTCGTTTCTTGGTTTTTAATTCTCTTTGACTTCCTGCCTTTCTTTTCTTCCACCCTTTCCACCCACATAATCACGAATTTACAAATTTGATAAAAAACTAATGAAAGAAAGTGAATATGCCTTTCGCCGCGTCTTGGTTTGTGCTTTGTCAACGACAGTGTTACTTCCATACCGTTTAAGCAAAATTACTGCATATGGATCACAAACACCGAATATATCTCTTTTTGATAGGCGTTCAGCTTTAACAACTCTAATACGGAGAAGTTCGGCGTCCTAAAATATTTGTACAAGAATTCCACGCCTACCTTCAAACTGTCACTAAACTCAAAAAAAAAAAACAGAGCAAAGTTCAGTTGAAACATGTTTAGAATGCCTTAAAGATTACCAAGAACTATGTAGAAATAAATAGTGTAGAGATATTACCAAAACAACTTCTTTTTGATAAAACATTATATTCTTAATGCACTTCAACTTTCCGGATATCATAAGTTTAAGACTGTGAAATGGCAACCAACTAAACAACGTCCCAAATTTATATATAAATGAATATAATGTGAACAAGACTACTTACCTCTTCCGTTTCAGGCAAGCCATAAACTTGACCCCTAGTTACTTCACTTGGTGACATTCACTATTACTAAAATAACTTTATTCATCATTAACCGAAGGATTTTAAAAGAAATTAACCGATAATTTCGCGTTCCAGTTCCGTTTCTCAACTCTCAACAAAAGCACCCTTTTCCCAGTAATGTTAAAAGTCTCATATCTCTGTCTCGTCATATATTATCTAAGCACCTCATACATGTCATCACTTCATATAACAAACATTTTCTCATGAAGATAACGCCAACAGACCATACATACAAACTGGTAAATCAACTACTGAAGGACGGCCTTTTTCACTGCGCCCATTAAAATGAGCTTGGAAGGATTTGGTTACAACGGTAATTGGAGCAGCCGAAGAGATAAGACGAAGAGTGACGGAAGGTTGGTGAATTCTGTAAACATATTTTCCAGATGATCACATAAATGATCAGAAGGATAGAATGATATGACATGGCCAGTATGGTGACATTAAGAAGAGGTAAGTTAGTTATTCCATCAGTATTCTGTAGGAAAATTCTTTTACATAACATTCCCTTAAATTTATTTCTCTTATTAGTCAAAGTAGAAACACTTTTTGACCCCTATGTACTCCTCAAAGACTGAAAAATGAACAAGTTTTAAGAAGTGATGAAAATATGTGAATGGTTCCTTGATCTACTGACATTCCTTGGATTTTATCTCATTGCTGTATATTGTATTGTGGTAGAATTTTATTTGGATCGGATTCGCCGCTATAATGGATTGTCACGAATGAAACATTTACTTAAAGCTATAGAAAAAAGCAAATTCATTAATACTTCAAGTCGAGAGCTTGTTGCCGTAATAACCGGAGCGGACGGTAGTATTGGTGCGGAAATAACCCGTTTATTGTTACGATATAATTTCAAGGTATTTTTATATGATTCTTGAATCCATAGGTTCTATTTGCACCGTTAATTTATGTGATTACATTGCATCTCAGCTCTTTTATTCCGTTTTTTTTTTCTGGTTTTACGTTGCAGGTTTTCTTTTTATACTTAACAATTTTGTAGTCGAGTTTGTGACGACTAAGGAACTCATCTGTAAATTTATGGCACAACAAATAAGTTAATTTTGTGCAGGAAGTACTTCCGGAGTGATTTTCTTGAAGGTTGTGTGTTTGGTTCGGAATTGTGACAATAGCGGCTGGCTGGATAATTCTGAATACCAACTGAACTTGGTGTTGCGAAATGTGGATTTATCCAACCTTCGGGAAGTGAAAGAAGTGGCAACGTTACTTGCGAACGAATATCCTCACATAGATCTCATTATCTGCAGTGCTGGTATTATGTTACAGCCGTTCAAGCTCACATCAGACGGCTTTGAGACTCACTACGCTGTTAATCTTCTTTCCCACGCCATCATGGTTAATTGTTTGTTGTCGCCCATGATTAAATATTCTGCAGGAGAAAGCTGTGTCCGAGACAGTCGTGTTGTGTTCTTATCCTCCGCCACCGCACACCTAGGGTTTTTTAATTCTATGCTTCAAGACAACTCTAAAATGTTTCACACATATCGGAATGGTTATCAGGCTTACTCGACATCGAAATTTGCGATATCTCTTTATATTGAGGAGATGAATAAACAAATGCAGCAGAAATGTGTGACAGCAAACCAACGGACGGTAACCGCCATTTCTGTACATCCCGGTTGTGTCGCAAGTGGTTTGTACGAACATGCAAATACTTTAACCAAAGCCATGATTTTCCGACTTCTATGGATTGTAATGAGAAATCCAGCTTTAGCTGCAGCAGAAACGATAGCCCTCGGATGTGCTGATAATTTAAAAGGAGGCTGCTACTACCAACATATGACACCGACTAGAATTCTGTGCACTGCAGCAAAAAAAAAACAACTCTATGAGCGTGTAAGAAGCATCATAACAGACATGGAAGAAATGTAGAACTGGTATTTAACAGAAATCACCAATAGTCAAGAAATCTTTTCCAGGAAAATGTTTGTATGTGCTTCCGTTCTGAATAATATATGATATTTTATGCTCATGTATTTAATTCAAAAAATTTATGCAAAAACTAGTGCTGGCATCTATTTTCTGTTTTTAACTTCTACAACCTTCTTCTTTTAGCTGTACAATGAAGATGGAAGAATAATTTAAAATATGACCGGAAAAAAAATTTGTTTTGGCTATAAGTTTAAATCTGGAAGGAAATGAAACTACCTTTTACTTGTTATCTTAGAAACAAGATTCAACGAAAGAGTTAACCAATTTTGTTTGATTGCTAATGTATAAAGAATTAGAAAAACGAGAATAGAGCGATGAAATTCCCCCTGTTTTTCTGAAATGTCCCAATTCTTTATTGTTCCAATTCCGCTCATGTCCCAATTCCTATTATGAGATATAGAGACCAAATACTGTATTTACAGTCTTTTATACTGTTTGGTTAATCACTATCAGAATCAACTATCAGTTTCTGGCGTTTTCGTTTTGAGTTTTTGCTTTCGTCCTGAAAAGTTCTACATATAATAGAGAACAAATAAAAACATAATCACATTTCCTATAACTTTTGGGCCATTTTTTATTTCCAGGTCTAATTACTTGTAATGATTTGAAATTAGGATTTTAACTTGGGTTTAAAAAGACGGACAAATGTGTTGGTAACATAATTTCTTCAGATTAAATCTAAAATCAGGCAATCACGACGCCTAAAATTCGATTTCGAAACATCAAATTGTGATTGTAAAAAAAAAGTTAAGTCTTGATTTCTATTTAGTAAAATTTTCTATTTAGCTCTTACTGAAATGCCTTTTTGACACGGTTGAACAAATAATTTTATGGAATGGTAGCTATGCGATTCAGTATTTCGTAAGATAATAATGCTCACTGCACTGGAACTTACTACCCTAAATATATTAAGCGCATATCTCCTACAATTGTTGATTAATTCCAGTGCGTCTAAATCATCACACCAAAAACATCTCTCGATATAAATACAGTAATTATAATTACTGAAGATTACAACTAAGGCCAAAACTCCATGTCAAGCAAACGACTATACATCGAGTTGTGCACGACAAACTTCAAAGAATGGGACCAATCCTGACGAGAGAAGGTCTGACATCGTTTCTAATGCAGTGGTTGCTTTTTTTCGAGACAACTAAGCAGTAACAAAATACAACAGTGAATTTGAAGTAACATACATCGCTCATATCAGTCATCTTTTTCGACGTTTTGGTTCTTCGTAAAGAACGAGCACTTTGTGCATTATCATCACTCAATATTTCCATTACAGCAAACAGCTCACTGTAGCGTATTCGAAGAGATGACACCTAATAAAATTTAAACAACATTTTACTTTAATACAAGGTGGAATGAACAATTTTTTACATTAATAAAAGCATAAAAAATTATAAAAATCAAGGCGAATTAACTCCAAATATAAAATTCTAGGCACAAGGATCTTAAGAGTGATGACTTCAGCTAAATCGAATTTTTTTGGAACGAAGTCATAAAAAGATGAAATGATACTTAAAACAATTTTGAATTACATGGTTTTCTAACACATCTCGGAAGATTCTGAGCTGTTATGTTCTTAGAATCACAAAAAGCCAACCTTTTCAGCCGCCCTTGCCACTGTAAATGCTTCCTGTAGAGTAGGTCGAGCCAAGAAGGCTTCCGCCACATGACTATCCTTCGATAAACAACTCTGTCGAAATTTGTCAAGATGTGAAAAAAGCTGATCCAAGCAAACATATCTGAAAAAACAGTTTGTTCGTAATTAGTTATCTTCCTCTAATTTATAATTGCTTTCAATGCTATCGACTTTGATAATTCCGCCTTGCACACTGATTTCCACAATTAAGATTGTGGAAGTCATATAAGTTTAATATCCAGTTTCTCCAAAATTCTAAAAGCAGTTTACATATTGTCAGGAAACAATTCTTTGATTTTGCATCCTTTTTACTAAACCACTGTTTGAAAAAAAATAAGGTTTCCCTTTGTGCCGGACGTTTCCCTTTTGAATGAACTGGGAGAAGATCACCAGACTGAATCAATTTGTCGATGAGATTAGAGAGCAATTCTGCTACTCGAGCTGCATAATCTGGATCCTTAATCAGCAGTTTCAGACAGTTTACAGTGAACATATCAGATGGTGTACGAGATAAAAGATTTCGTATGAGACTCATATTTGGTTCGCGGTCCATCCTAAATCATATCTTGCACAAATAGCAAAAAAATAAGACTGCAAAATAACACAAGTAGATTACTAACCAAATCACCTCTTAAAACAGATTAATTACCCTAAAGAACTACTGCGTGATTAAAAAAATGTATTAAGTTTGGCAAATCAGCTAACATGTATAAAGTTCTCACCCAAATCTGAAATTATATAAGTTAACGTAACCTAAATTTGAAAATTTGCCGAGTGCTGCAGTTCTCAACTTCATAAGATATCAGGTTGTTTCTATCGCAGTCTGAATAGACAATTGAGAACAATATATTTCGTAAAGAACCTTTGAAGCATGATATAAACTTGCGCAATTGCTTCCGAATGCTTCGGGTACTGTAGTTTAGAAATCATTTGTAAAATCCAATCCACAGGAACACCTTCTGCATGTACCAGCTGCCAGAAAACAAACTGCGCGGTTGTTTCCCATGTCAATGAAGCACTGACGATAGGTAAAAAAGAGTCCTTCCTAAAATTTATTCATTAAGAGCCCAGTGAAAATCCAACAATCAGATGACTTAATTTTTAAACAAGGATACTCGATAAGAAGCAAAAAGTGATATTAAAGTGATCATTTAAAAAAATTTTTAAATTGACCTAAAAAATGAGATGTTTTCCCGAACCATTTCCCCAATAAGATCAGCGATCTGCCGCCCGTCTAATGAATGCGATAACAGTTTCATCAGTTCAACACTACCCATTGCTTCCGTGGCAAATTTTTCGTATACATATGGAATAAGATGTGCGAACAGTACATAGTCATCGATGTGGCATTGCTTAAAACATATTTAAACCACATATTTTTAATTAAAAATTTCATTCAGCTATCATTCATTATTCATTTTAAATCATGTCAAGGGAAATGCTGTACATCCTTAGGAAAGCATAGGTCAAGTCTAGTTTTAAAATAGTTTAAAAAACATTGCATTTCATATAGCAATTAATATTAAATACAGTGTTGTAAGGAACGAAAAGAGTAATGGAATTAATCAACACCAAGAAGGCAATCACCTAGAGATCAAAACATAATCCATATGACTTCTGTAAAAGATTTATGCATACTAATTAATCAAATTATTTTGAATTCGAGAAACCTGTAAGTCTGAAACAATTTGCTGAATCGGTGGGCTATCTAATAGGCGACACAGATCAGTATAAGCAGCAATTGCAGTATCATTCTGATCACGACGATTTGAAGATGTAAAAAATAACAGTAAATATGATATAGATGAGCACCTGCAAAAAATTTATGCTTCCTTATTGCTTTCTCTGCATTACAACTTCAGCGAAGCCAAAAACATTCCCTTCCTTGCACTAGCCAACAAACAGGAAACAGATGAAAATCTTAATATTCTTTGATTATAAGATGAAGCATGTTTAAGAAAAACAGTTTGAAACCTCACTTTATTTCAAAGTTATGATGCATATTCAAGACGTCTAAAGCATTCAGCAAAAGCATTAAATTGAAAAATGAAGCTTAAAGTCTTTACGTTTTTGATGAAAATCAAAAACATGCCTTTCGCACATCTCAGCAATTAAAGATAATAGTAACTGCCTTGTAGCATCACTATCTGGTGTCAGACATAGGTTTCGAAATATTACATAAAGCGGTTGGTTAAACATCTCTTCCAGAACTCTAAAACTTAAATAAGAAATTTCGAAATTAAGAAATTTATGTAAATCGTCGTTAAATAAACAAGAATAGGCATTTATTCGGAACAAAAATTACTCAGGTGTGTCCAAAAAACCTTCCGATAACGGCTTCCTATTTCGGATATCCTTTCTGAAAATAAGTAAAAGACATTCCGATAACAATTCAATCTGTTCCTCATCTAGTAATTCATCCTGAAATATTATCAAATTTCAATCTTATTTCAAACAGCAAACAAACAAACTGCAAATAAAGAAAATGAAAAAACGAGTGAGACAGAACCTAAGAATAACAAAAAAATAAAAGAAAAAAAAAAACAAAATTTTTATAATTATTTTCCCTCAGGAAATGGTATTTTTGAGAATTTTTCTGAAATTTTTATGTACTTTCTACATTTAACCTATTCCTAAAGCATAACTGAATTTATAACTGACTGCAAAAGTTAAAACTTACATTATCAAAGACAGAAGACAATAACTTCTGCATCATTTCACATCGCATATCGCTGTCCAAATTCTCCACACCTGATAAATTTTCAATCGGTTCTCGAAATTCTTCTTTGACAGCGGCTAAGAGGGTCATTAGTTTCTCTTCACATGATAAACCAAACTCTTCATCAAGTGATCCATTGTCTTCAACTACCGCTGAATCCATGCTAACTACATCTTCGGTAACTACTGAACCAGATTCGCTTAGCGCAATCTCTACATCTGATAGTAACATCTCACCAGGTTCTAAAAATATTTTTTTGTTCCACTCACATTCTCGTTTTCAACAAAAATCGATCAACAGATATCGATCTAGGCTTGAAGATGAATAAGTTGTTGAACGATTTTTATGCCATAATTACGAATGTGCACATAGTCTGTTCTCAATAATTTCTCGATATGGTCGCATTATACTATCTATCCAAAACTTAAATAGTAAGTGTAGTAAATGAATCAATTTTTTTCAGGAATAGAGATTATTCGCTCGAAGAGAAAAACACACTATGGATAATGATGATTATTATAATTTTACCGATTCCACCAGCAGAAGAATGTGTTTGCATTGTTTGTGGTGGTCGAAAAAGTCCTCGAAATGTATCCCGGAAGTTTTCTCGTACATTTTTTTGCAGTACTGGATTGTCGAATATCACGGAAGGAGATCTAAAAAAATCAAAACACTATACGAAAAACAGTAGGGTTCTGAAAATTTCGTATGAATATTAACCCAGCTACGACATGATTTATATATGGAAAAAATAAAGCGAAGATCAAATAGACTTTATTGTGCAGCCTTGCAGAGCTTCGGAAGTTAAGAACAGCAAAAACGAGATATGAATGGAAAATGGGATATGAATTGAGTCCTTTTGCAATAAACTAACCCTAAAATATTATGATCAATTAGAAATTTGAATGAATTTGTTACTGAGGTTATTATTCGCTGCTGCAGTTGCGGATGAAGTTCATAACTCATCTGAAACTTGACCTTTTCGATGTCCATTTTCTTTTCGAATGAAATTTTAAAAAGTAAATGAATTGCATTAAAAAATTAATGGCTTCTACATGATGACTTTTGACTTTTGCCTACACAAACAAAGCATACCCATTGAAATGAAATAAAAATTGTTAGTACTGTAAAACATAAACTAATGCGCACTGTCTCGCGAACAGACAACTGAAATTTCATGAAGGCAGGTAACATGAATATTTTCAACATTTTATAAATTTATAAAAACAACTTACTCTTGTCATAAAGTCAACAAGGGAATTCGCTAATAACGGTTGGACATGTAACAGGTGTTTCAGTACATGAAAAGCAGGTTCTAAAAGTGGTAGGAATTAAAAAAAAACAGGTTAAAAATTTTTTTAAATGAAAATACTATTAAAAATAAAGTTTTAAACATTATACTTAAATTCGTTTCTTCGTAAATGATCCGAAAAATTTTATTTTCAGTGATTTTTTCAGTTCGAAATAGATTATAACGGAAAATGCAAAGAAATTTGTAAATAAAAAAATATGTCACAGAATGATCAAAATCAAGCAAATTTATGTTCATGTGGAAAATTGCAAAAAATATAGAAAATTTGTTTCTGGAAGTGGTTACCATTACCCTCTTTTTTGTATTCAAATTTAGTATATTCGCAAAGGAAACTAAATATAACAAATCGAATGATCAAAGCACTTACCAATCAGAACATGCCCCCCATTAGCAGGGTCATAACAAAGCCAATCCCATAAAAGATGAAGTTTGCACCACTGCTGTTCCATTATGCTCTATAAACACTTTCATTATATCATTACATTGATTAGTTTGAAAATACTATTTTTTTTTAAAAAAAAAGAGAGCAAATTCATGAAAAAGTGATATTTGAACGTACATTTGTTTGCGGGAACATTGAAGCAATGAAAATTGCTTTCATCTCCTGCCCAACTTGAGGTATTTCTCCGCATGAAAGAAATATGGCACAGCGGACCAATTCAGAACGAAGGCTACCAGCCTCTGGATTTGATAAGTACTGAAAAAGTAATTTGTATGTACGTTATTTCTTTAGTCATCAAATAGTAAAGACATATTCCTAACACTCAGTTCTATCCTAGGAAAGCGACTTCTGAGTTTTTTTGATCAATCCAACCTGTTTTTTGAACCAATCCAAATGTCGCTCATGTGTCCCAGGTTTCACCTTGGCAAATATGAATTCAAGTTTTCGCTGCATAGCTACAGATATTCGATAAAGAGGAAAAGTATGCGGACACATGCGATTCATTAGTTCTTCAACTGAAATACTAGCTTGACTTGAGTGATTCTATGTGTTCATCTTTATTTAGTGGCAGCTATTATACAAAAAATTCGCACCGTCGCTACCAAAAAAATTCTCCAGTGCACTGCGAAATATATTGTATGTATAAACCGAGTGGAAGAAGTTCCCGAAGTATTAACAGACAAACATAATAAAGAAAGCTAACTAACTATTAATATTAGGTCCTAGTTTGTTTGGGTTATAGAGTAGTTGTTTCCATATCGCAGCAAACTGCGGTATTTTTGAAACTCTCATTAATGCCAAGACTAAATCTCGTCCCAACTGCGCACAGTCCACAAATCTTTCTGTAAGCAGCCAGTGACAAACATTAACCATCTGTGTACGCAACGACTCAAATGCGTTGAAAGAGCTAAGGTCACAAATAAATCTGAAATTATAGATATGAAAAAGGATATAGACCGAAAATTATTCTGCACTAACAGCAGAATAGTTACAAAGACGTTTGTTTGAAACTTAGTTTAGTCTCAGTAGTTAAGTCTTACACTTTTGAAACAATAAGCAGTGACAGTAAAATTACCTCGTAAAAGTGAGCAAAGTAACCGGAATAAGGGAAGCTTTCGGTTTCAATTCGCTCAACCAAGCATGGTGGTCGTTTAGCATCCCAGCAACAGCACTTAAAAGAGCGCAAGTTTCTTTCAAATCACTCCCTGAAAATGTTAAATTTATCTCGTTAACAGCTGTGTTTATCGAATTTTTAAAAAACTTGCATAAAGGTACACTTCTCATTATAAATCCAAAAAAACCTTCCACAAAAGTATAGGTAATAAAACACAGACATCAAACGATTTTCAGTAATGCTGATTAATAAATTTCGGTCTCTAACACAAGCATAATTTTAGAAACTTGTAAAACTACCGTCATTAGCATTACGGAGGTAATTGATCAGAACATTGTCAATTTTCGGTACATTTGATTTGATCGCTTCCCGAAAAAAGTATACAATTTGCTCACGCACTTCCGGTCGCATTCGCGGGTAAAGTTCAAATAGTATCATATTAACATTGCATAGAGCGCAGAACCAACCATCACGCGCTAGCAGCGACAAGATAGAAAAATACTAAAAAGTCAATATTAAACCATAACTTGAATTCTGTGCATCAATTTTTGGGAATAATTTTTTTTTTTTCTAACCTGTTATTTCTCGAAAACTGAAAGCAGAGGATAAGTAAATAAAGACAATGAATAACAAGGATCTTCAAAGTGTTTTATTTTGCTTAAAAAAAATAAAAATACATTAAAATCAATTATTCTGAAGCAATCCTTAGCATACCTTCTGAGCATTTTGTGGTTCGGTTAGCAATCCGTACAGAAGACCTCCTGTGATATTCTCAAACACCTGCAAAAGCGCCTATGTGATGAATTAGAACAATCCTTAATCCTACAGGCACAGAAAAATCATTCATAATAGCTTACAAGAGTGAGCATGTTCCAGTGAGCATCCAGGAGACTTTACAAGTAATCGTACTTTTCCAAGTAATTTCACAACAGAATAAAAGCAATAACAATACATATAAAGGAGTAATAAGTAATTCAAAGATATGCACCTTTGCTTCGCCAGCCATTTGTAACAGAACATCGTATGATTCCTTTTCCGGAAGACCGCTCGTTCGATTCTGTACCATATTGAAGCCATTTTCCAATTTCTGCAATTTATTTCTGGTATTCTGGCATTATTTTCACATTAGTATCCCCTAACTACCTTCATTCAAAACTGTTGATGCAAAGAACTTTTACGAATCAGAAGAGAGATAAACTACGCTTAACTGCGTGATAAAATTCCTTACTAAATATTAGAACTAAAGTTACTCTTAAACTCCTCCACTATTTCTTTTTTTTTCAGGATCATCTTCCACGTTTTAATGAAAAGATCTAAGGGACTTCTACAAAGATATAAGTCTTATTAAAGGTTTTAACTTCAATTAGGTACTGAAAACTTTTCAGAAAAACTACTTCTTCAAGCTCATCGCGTTGCTCGAAATTGTTTAAATTGAGTAATTTAGATAATCGTTTAACGCGTGTATTAGATGATTCCATTGCATGCGTTCACGTTTAATCCTGCGCAACTTCACCTGCAAACTGCTTCACGACCAATAAGTCATTCTAACCCTACCAATTTTCTAAAGAATTAGTGTCATATACAATTTTACAATATCCTTTCTCTTACTAACGGTTATCTAAAATTTACGATTACCTAAGTCCACTTCCGAACCCGGAAAGCCTCTCTCCCCCAAACATTCCTGCTTACACGAGTGCGACTCAAAATTTGCATAACGATTCTACTGTAGTCACTACTCTTGTTCGTGCGTTGTGCGTTGCTCAGTTGCGTCTCGTTCTAGCAGTGCCTCATCTTTTCACTTTAGGCCTTACTTTCGGAGATGGATTAGTCGTACTCTCTTCCATCCTTAACTTGCTTCTCTTGCTTGAACTCTCGTATTCGTAGTTTTCCGTAGCTCTTTGTTTTACTATTACACGTCCAATGCCATCTTAAAGTATGCAAAATTCGTCCGTAAATAACACTATAATTCAATCGAAATCTGTTGGAAAATGCATCAGGTTAGCGTTTTATCAGACCTTAAATTTTATACCAATATAAAAATATTATTGAAATTGTTTACTTTGCGTGTTTTTAGATGTTTTTGCTCGCTGTCACTCGATGTCATATGCTTTATTTTTTCACTTTCTCTCTCTCTCTCTCTCTCTCTCTACATATATATAGTTTATGTGATCATATTAGGAGGAGTGTTTAAATCATTACTATTTCAATTTCTAGACAGACATTAGTATTGTGTGATAAGGCGGATCTGCTGATTAATGATGACTTTCAAACGCTCATGCCTCCCGATATGCATTCACTGCGATCCAGGTATAAAATTGTTCTTATTCTTATACAAACCTAATTATGGAAATTAAAATTTTTGTCACTATATTAGTTCTGTGTTGTTATTAGAATTTTTTAAAACACAATTTCTATGGACTGCACATTTAAATTTGTGCTTGTCGTTTTTTTAAAATTGTTGATGAAGATAAGTCAGTGGTACTGAAAAAAAATCATTTTAGGGTCATAAAGTTATGCAAAACAATATTTATCGATCTGGAATGGAGTCGCCGAATTCTTGATAGAGTATGGAAAAGCTGCTACTATGCGGTGATATGCCGCATACGAAGGGCTGCCTTGAGTGTGGAACAGAAGAACTGGACTGAAATGTTGATTTCGAAATTTGTTAAAGAATTATGTGTTTTTGCAAATGACTTTCCACATTTACGTTCATCGGCATGTTTGTACATCGGGGATTTGCGTCGCTATGCGTGGCTGATCTCTGGTGTGGAAAAATATAGAAATTTAGCACTGCTTTGTTACCGGTAATAATTTTAAACTTTGAATTCCTAGTTAAATTTTGAACCGAAAGGATTCATTCAGAGGGAGCATATTGGTCCACTTTTTAAAAAAAAAAACACTGAACAATTTTTTTTTTTGCTTTGACACTTGATGTTTTCTTTTTTTTTTCGTTTCTATTCATTATCTTTTCTTTGCGTTGGCTGGTGAAATAGACAAGTCTTAATTACAATGTTAAATACAAAAGCAGTTTTTACAGTATTTTACATTTGAAACAAATTTTTTTTTCCTTTTTAGAAGATTTTATCAAAAATTTTATCACTAAGTGTTTACTTAAAGTGTTGTTTTGTAGGAAATCGGTCAAATTAGATGAAAAGAATGGAATTGCATTGAATCAGCTTGGTCTTCTGGTTCAAGAAACTAATCCAACTTGTGCTTTACTCTATTTTCTGCTAGCTGATAATGCATCATTGCCTTTTGACGGTGCCTACACAAATGTTATTAGTTTGTTAAAGCGAGAAGAGCAGAAAGAAGATCCTACAGTAGCTATTCTTGAGCATTGCTTCACATGCTTCAGGTAAGGTAATCATTGTTCTGATCATTTGGGTTCATTTAATTTTGCTCTTCTGTATTTTAAATGAAATTATATGGTCTCATTCAACTAGATATAATTATTGGATATGCTGTCTAAAGTTTAAAAAGTATGCAAATCTGTAGTGAGAAGAATTTTTTTCTCTCATTTCTTCCCAGGAAGACAGTTGTTATTGTAATAGTAGAATGTTAGTTAGGCTGATATATAACAATTGCTTTTTACACTTACATCACTTTGTTTTTTTTTTTTCCTTTGTGAAGTGGGAGCTGAACTTCTAAATAACATTAACCCTGGATTTTTTCTTTCAAGTTTTCAGATAGTTAATTTAGGCAGCCGTATTTTGAGGAACTTTCGACGAAGTGGTCGGAATACATAATGTCGCAGTTAGAAACTCGACATGCATTTCATGTTGCTTTGTCGATTAATGTCATCATCCTGGCGGCTACAACTTCGTTAAAAAGAGGTAGTCTTCTTGTTTTTTGTTGAGTTTTACTTCAAAACTATTTGTAGGAAATTATTACTGCCTCTATAATACTGAAGGACTACTAGAGCAGTTCATGGCGAAATGTTCATTTGTAGCTACAACTAATATTTCCGACATTTGCCATTTTGTGCTTCTGAAAGTTACAAATTTATAATATTTGACGTAATATATCAGATAAATTTGAGAGATTAGAATTTAATGAAAGAATTAAGTACAAAATGGTCAGATGCAAGTAGCTAAGATTTTTTCGATAAATGTATGTAGGAATTAGTTGCAGGGAAAGAAATAGAGTTGCAGTCTCTAAGCAAGTTGTTCTTTCGAATTTCAAGACTTTTGATTCGAAATTTGGAAGAATGGTGTGTAATAGAAGCTGAAGGAGCTGATTTACGAAGGCGCCGAGCTTCATCTTCTGATGGAAGTGTAGAAGAGACTAAAATAGCAGAAAAAGAAAAAAGACACTGCTCGCGGTCCTCCTCATTGGAAAAAGATGTGGTTTCGGAGGAGGATGAAATAGCAGTGGATACGGATGAAATAATGGTGGAAATGGATGAAACAGTGATGAAAGCAGATGAATCAAGTTTTAGTAAACGGAATAATGATACACAACATAGAGTCCAAACGCTTCTTGTTGCTTTACTTCATGCAGCAACTTCTTTAGCTCCGCATGTGTGTAACGACAGAGTACCATCAGCACTTCACTGTGTAAATTTTATTCGGAAGTTTCTATGTATGAAGTTTTTGATGAAGCAATAATTGTATTTTTAGTACGGGGGGACACATATTATTTGTAGGCAATTTAAATTTGCAAACAATGTTAAATTCGTCGTTTTTAATGCCATTAATTCAAATATAAAGCTGTGATCAGCCTTCTATTGAAGGTTAAAGGAGTGCTCTTAAGTATCATGTTAAATCGAAACTAGTGCAAATATTGTATATTCATCAGATATTATGAAGAGTGCTAAAAGGATTGATCTGCGATTGTTTAATGCGAATGATCTTTTAGCCATTTTGCTACACTGCTTTAGATTTTAAATTGTAAGTTGAATAAATGTCTGGAACGCATCATTTATTAGATATTATTTTCAGCAATATGAAGATTTCTGCCAACAGTTGGTTCAGTTTTTGAATCTTTTGGAACTGCATTTAGAGGGTAAATCGGAGAACTTGTGGCAGCTTGGTGGCTTAACTCCGTGGTGTTTGCTACCACGCTTTTTGCAAGGTTTTGTCAAATCTTCGCATACTCCTGTTGAATTTGCTGAATTTTTTGTATATACTCCGAAGAATTCAATAAAGGAAAGTAAAATGAAAAGTATGGCAAAACTGTGGTTGGCACACGACACCGAAAAGGTATACAAAATTTTGATTACTGAGTTCTTTTCAGGTTCCCTTTATGCCAAATAAAGTATTATGCTATCAGTGTTTTTGGGACCTTATTTTCCATTGGTTTGCATTCTAACAAATCTTTGTTGGACATGGAGCTGAGCAAAAGCTATGTTTCTTAGATTCCCACACACTGCGGCGAAATATGTTATTTATTCCCAATAATTTGGTCTCTTATCCTTGTTTAAAAATCAACACTATTTAGGATATACTAGAAGTTAAATTTACAAATCCTCTTAAGGAAAATGTTTAAATGGTTTTCTTTCTTCAGGAACAGATTCGGACCTCTCTACCATTATATGTTGTTCCACAAGAGGATGTTTTACTGCAACGACTGGAAGTCATGAAAAAGATCCTAAAGAAGGACAAGCTAATAGTGGCCATAGCAGAGGGTACATTTCGAAGTTTGGATATGAAAAAGGATAAAGCAGAAGTACGAAAAGCGCTGCGTTGGATCAATACGCATATATCAAAAGATGGCCGTCTACGAATTATACCATGTTCAACACCGGAAATGTGTGCAGAGAAGTTGGTAACGCAAGCACCGACCACATCCACTGTATTCGTTACGGTGCTTACATTATTAATGATTGGAACTAATAGAGTCATCAAACGTAAGCAGTTTCTTCACTTTATATCTACGATGTATTTATGTCAAAAAAGCATTTTACTGTTACATATCTAAAGTCAATGTCTACAAATCTTGATTTAATCATCTGCAAATAAAACAGTTTTATTTTGACACTTTTCATTCGTTCTTGATTTTGCTTTCATACAAATAGCAGTTATCTAGAAGGTTACGCTCCAATCAGTGGTGGAAGCCCATCCTTATTATGAGTTTCTTAAAATTTATTACTTGGAAATCTATCTGGTGGCAAAGCTTACATCATCCAAAAGTTTTAATTTATGTCTTCATATTTGTGAAGCTTTGTTAACATATTCAGAAGTATCGGTTTGTTGTTAATAATGATGGAGTGGGAATGAGAGTTAAGATTTAGTGAGGGACTAAAGTTTAAACTATTATCTCCGAAAGAACTTTATTATCTCTAACTATAATCTCCCGAAATTAAACTATTATCTCCGAAAGAATTATGTTTTCACTCATTTATTTCTTTCGGTACATGTAATAATTAAGGCAACAATATTCTGTCATTCTAAACATTCGCACAACATAGATTTTCAATCTTTTACTATAAGACATGGAAATACGCATGCATTAAATTCTCAAGTAAGGTTGAGAAGATTCTTTTTGTAACTGTCACTTTTTTAGCGATAACGGTGGAAAACGTTGAAGATTTTTGTGCTCGATATGACAAAGCTGAGAAGGATTTCTTGCTGTGCCGTTGAGTGGATGATGACCGCAGGATAGTTAAGGTGATGAATACTTTGGATGAATCCTTTTTGTTAAAACTATTAATTGTCATATGTGCATGATCCACTATTTCCTCCAAACTGTAGTCATCAGGTAAATCAAAAAAGATGCTTTCTTCATTTTTGCTTATGGTAACAATATTTCGACATATCAATTAAATAATAATTTAATCTGGATGTTCTGGTGGTTTTTGGGTGAGAAGCTGTAATGATGATAGTTCTGTTGTACTGAAGACTTATATTGTTACTGTAAGCAAAAATAGATCATTAGGGAAATGACTTTAATAATAGAATGGTTGATAATCGTTTCTTTTTTGTTAATTGCTATATGTACATCTGCAGTGGATTATTGAAACAAATCTTCAGTGAATCCGCGAAATTCAATATTAAAAGGGATAAGAATGAAAAATGGAGGAAGAATTTGTGATAGTAGCCAATTTGTGTGTGCGCCATAGTTTTTTTATGTTGTGCTCTTCTTCCTCCTCTCACCTCTTTCGGGCAGCACCTATGACTGAAGAGGAAGAGAGATGAGAAGTCTGAATAAGTTAAGTACCATGTAATACAACCGTTTTGTCACTGAAGAGTAATGAGCATTGTCAGCAGGAGATAGAGGTTGTGGAGAAAAAAAAGATGATAGTGGTGGAACAATTTTGGAGTGTTAAGGCAATCAATGATGGGATGGTGCAGTTTGCTTGAATGGATGAGAGGCCGGGATAATTCATCGTCGCTCATCGCTGGGCAGTTCGGTCGTTTTTGCTTATGATCTTCTGGTTGAAATGCACAAGCCATTAGTTGGTGGTGCTTACTGGACACTTCCATTTAAGATTCTTAAAGCTTCGATGATGTTGTGATGGTGTCTACAGGAAATGTTTAAGAAAGAAAAGGATGAAGAGTTGGAGAGATAAGTCGCTGAAAGAAGTGTGAAGTGATTGAAGTGAAGTGTTGAAAGTACTCTTGAATGGAGAAGGAAGGGAAGAAAGAATTATGCTTGAAGGGGAGGAGAGGAGAGTGAAAGACGTGAAGAAGTACAGTGATGCCTCGTTATATTTGTTAAATGTTTATTTGTGAGGGACATCAGAGGATGTCTGGACACGGATTAAAGTAAGAGGGGAGAAGAGGAACAATAGTAGTAGTAGTAGTAGTGGTTAACAGCGTACAAATCCACTCATCAGCATCAGTAGAGGTCGCTTTATCTCTGTCCCCGCCACTTTTCCCTCTCCTCCAAGTGTTATTGTTAGAAGTGACGGTGACATTAAGGATGGACATATCTATCTGTTCGTGAGTTGCTAGCAAAGCATAGACACACACACACACATGTACATATATACGCATACAAACACACGCATACACACAGATTCTAGATAACGGTTCATTATCGTTTGGAATAAGTTTATTGTAGGTGGGGGAGACAAGGGTGGTGATGTGAGTGGGCAGAGCTCTTTTTTTTCACACCGCTTCACTTACTTGTCTCATTTTTATTGGCCACTTCTACACCCAGTTTGTGTATTATAATTTATTCATGTTGCTCAAACGTTTGTTTGCACCAATCATTTCGAATTCGCCCATTTTAAATAAGGACAAGCAATCTTTAATCCATCCTTACATTTTTTATATTGGATATTTCATTTCAGTGCTATGCAATTATTATGCTATTATGGGTGAGGCCGTATTCTGTTACTTTTGCCGTTAGTCTTCTTCATCGATATAAATGCGTTCGAAAGTTTCAAGGAGCTATTTATACTGGTACTGACATTTGTCATAGTGGATTTAGCGTTTTCTTTTCCATTCCAGTAATTCTGGGATCCGAGATTTGTCCTCATCTTGTTTCCAGTGAAACTGACGGTCAGACTTGTTGTCAAAGTTAATTCACTTAATGACGTTGTAATTATGCAGTAATGTGTATGATATCTTTTAAGATGACAATTGAACGACATTTAATATTTGTTTGCTTTATGAAGATGCAGAAAACTGGAAAATAGTGGCTATTTCAGAGCACATGTATATAGCTAGTTGTTCCTTCCCGTCATTGAAATTCAATTCCCCAATCGGCTCTTCCCTTTCCGTCTCCACACATCTGCGCTGTTGAGAGTCTTCCATTGCAAGGCCCATTTATACATTCATCCATGTGAAGCGATAACTTATAGAAATACTGTGGGAAGGGTGAAAAGGGAAAAGGTTAGTGATGGAAAGGAAAGAGCAGATGGGTAATAATTTATCATATATGCCCAGGGCATACTTCATCTGTTTGTATCTCAGTGTATTACAACCAATTTAGTCATTGTGTGTCACATTATTTATTTGTTTATGTAATTGCATCTTCCCCACACATCACATATTTCACTTTATTCTTATCTTCTCATTTATACATGTGTATTCATTATTACCTTACACTTCCCGAATGGTGATTCCAATTATTCCGTACCTCGTTTATTTTATCTATTTCTTTTCACTTTTCACTATTTAAAAAAAAAATGCACACAATCGGAAATCGTTTATAAAATACCATTCTAGCTCGAATTGTCGCGTTATATCTCTTCGTGTCTTTTGTCTATCTTTTCGTCCATACAAACTTTTTGGGATTTCGGTAGCACTTTTTGAAAGCTCCAGTTTCTAGTACTATGCTTTTATCCGATTGTTTTTTAGCTGTTGTTCTGCATTTTTTAATGGAATTTCAGTGCTGCATTCATTTCCCGTTTAGATCGGAATGGATGGTGTTTTAAAATAACTTTAATATGGTGTGTGAATTACGCCTAATTTGAAGTATTTGAAGCGATTTTTGGCGGGAAATAAACTAGTTTTTCATGGAAGTAAAACGGAACGATTTGCTCCTAATTGGGCATTTTTAAGGAACTGGGTTTCTCAACCCATCTTAAACTCTGTGATTTCTCATCAGCGGTTATGAAATGTTTTTGGGTTTGGAAAATTATTTACATGGTCCGTATCGCTCCTAAAACTTTTCTATAACAAATTCTTTGGACTTACATTTTATGGACAGTTAGTTTTACAGTTTGGATTATGCGTCGAATTTCAAGTAGATATTTGTTCCGTCTCTTCTGTGGTTCTTGCCTTATTTGCCCTACAGTTATTACCAATAGCACTAATTATGTTGCTTATTTTCGTAGCCCTTAGCAGATAGTGAGAGGGAATGGAAATGATATTTAGTTGGTCGTATTTAGCTAGATAGTTTAATCAAGTGAAAAACAGACATAGCTGAAGATTTTCTGAAGCACTTTATTTTATTCACTGGAATATGCTTTATTGGTCGCTGAGTTTGAATGTTAGAATGTTATTAACATTACTAAGAATAAATTAATTGACTAAGTTATGGTTGGTGCTGCCCATGTCTAGAAGCTTTGTTAAGCACCATCAACAACTAATGTGTACCTATGTGCTATTCAATGTTACCGAATGTAAGTTTGATTCAGATTCTGTTTAGCCTGTAATGTTTGTTGTTGATCGTTCGTATTTTGCGCAAGTCATGTATTTATGAAGTTTATGTTGGGGTTCATGTGTTAAGAAGGCTGTATTCTTCCACATGGAATGACTAATGTCTAAGGTAGCTTGCAAGATAGCTCAGTTAAATGGTGTCTCAAGTAGATTAGTTTAATGAAAGGTTTGATGGAACTATTATTAAATGGCTGTGGTTGAACTTGTTCGAAATAGGTCATTCCTCTCCTGTGGTTCTAGTATTTTGGAAGTTTATAACTCCATGCAGAGGGAGGGGACATTTACTAAATCTTTGATTCAGAGTTCACTAATCAATTCTAGAATGAAGGACTTCTCAATTTACGCTGAAAGCACAGATTCGCATTGAACAGACTGCTTTAATATGTTGTCCTAGGGTTCGAAATGCTCCTAGAGGTTATTGATCTAAAATAAAACATATCCTTGTCCACGAAGGTTGAATTACCTAAGTAATTGAATGTTTCGGCCCAGGGTTTAGACTGCTGTGACTCGAAGTAAAATTTTGGAAAGTCCTGCATATTTGTGTGACAAGAAATGTACTAGTAAAAATGATATACTTTCAGGTTTTATCATGTCTACCACCAATATATATATGACATTGATGATGCATATTTTGAAACATTCAATTACCTCCAACTTGGGCGGTTAAGCTGAAGTAAGTTTTAGGCTCGAAAGTCATGTGTTACTACCATTACTGAAATACAAATACGACCGACCAGTGTCACGATCTGGTATATGTTAAAGTCCGAAGAGCTGAAGTTTAAATTGGTTTTGTCGTTGCGCTTGGTAAACCTGGTTAGATGTAGCCTTTGACATTTTGTAGAGTTGTTTACATCCAAATTGCTGAAGTGTGGGGCATTGTACGATTTTCTTGTTTTTTAATTAATATTTATTTTCTTCAAGTTGTGCTCTGTATTCTCCATATGAGAAGCTAAATAAAGTTCGAATTAAGCGTTTGAATTGGGGTTTTTATCTATTATTGATTCTATTATTCAAAGGTATTTACTTTTTGTAATTTGCTGTAAATTTTGTTGGGATGAAGTTGCTGGGCTTGTTGATATAGTTCGTAGGTTTATCGTGACGGGATACAGCCATTACGTGATTTGTTTTTTAGTTTTGGTGAATTTTTTCTGCTTAAATAGTCAATTTTCATATAATGCGCAAATTTTCGAAGTTTTGGATTGACGGTGATGTGACAGGTTCCAAGACTATGTTCAGCGAACACTTCCGTTATCTATACGCTCTGGTTTACAGCGCTGTTCAACGAATACCTCTGTTAAGCATTGAAGTTACTAATAATTTGTTGAGTGGTTTTAGATTAATACCGTCAAGAATCGGAATGGTATTTTTTGGTAAAGGCTTTTGCGAAATAATGGATTCTAGATTTGCTGGAATAGAGGGAAGTTCTCGAAGTATATAATAGCATTAAAATTTATTATGACACTGATAAGCTTTGAAACTTTCGGAGACTCGGTAAGGTAAATTTTTTGAAAGGAATATTTTTTGTGCATGTTTGAAGCCGTGGCACCTTTACAGATAGGCAATAAAAGTAATTGTTTTGCATTTACTTTACGGAGTGTTTATGATCATCCTTGAAAGGATTTACAGTTCGTCGTTTTGAGTGTAATTTGTTTCCCTCATGCCTTTTCCTGTTCATCGACACATCCACTTCCCCTTGACATTCCTATTTCCTAATTTCTTCCCGTCGAGTATTTTATTCACCATTGACAGATTTTTTTGGCGTAGTTTAATAATCATTTCAAATCGACTTATTGCATTCCTTTTTGATTCCTTCGTCTTTGCTTTTTTTTTTTAAAAATTTCCATGTGAATTATTTCGTCTCTTTCAAGACATTACTACTGTTCATGAAAAGGAAGGAAAGGATTGGCTGTTCTAGTTCTTTTTCGATTAACTGAATTGGTTTATGACTTTTTTTACCTGTACTTTTTTGATGGATGAGTAAGCAAGGGATATATATTATATATATGTATAATTATTCTACACAGTAAGGAAGTAAAAAAGGCTTTAGAAGTTCGTAAAGTTCGTAAGATAAATAGTGATTTTCTAACTCTTTCATTAAATCAGTCAATTGCTTTCCAATTTTATTGGTCCGACGAAACTTAATTTCAGGGTAGTGGGTATCGAAAAAAAAGGATAATTAATAATGAACCTTATCAAAACTTAATAGTTGGCGCAAATGATTATTGCGTTTTTTGGCTTAACACTGGTATTCAGTTTAGTTTTGTTAGTTTCAGTGGAGTTTTACCTCCGTATTTGCTTGAATGTCTTTAAATTTCAGCTGTTATTTTTTAATGTTGAGTTCCGAATTGAACGCAGTAAATGTTCTTGCGTTCTTAAGATATTCTAAAAATTCCTTATTTCTCGCCTTCTAAGTTTATATTTTGTAGTTCAGATAGTATTTAGTTTAAGACGCCCTTTCCCAAATATTTGCAGAACCTTATACAGTGTGCAGTTATGATTGCTTTTGATCCGGGCTTAGGGACTCATCGTTCATTGATGGACTTGTCTAGACCAAGATTGATGGAAATATCATCTGACGACATTAAAGTAATTTCATCGACGAGTAGCAAACGACTATAGAAGTACTGTTAGTAAAGTTAGAATTTCTTTTGGTGGTTCAAATGATTATAAAAAACCAGATTTATTCATCTTTAAGTAAGCAGTGGATAAGTGGTATACATAAACAATTAAGCTAGTATTGAGCTCCAATGGAATTTAACAACATGGAGTGAATCATCAGTGAACCTTGACTTTATATCCCACAATATATACCAATAAACAACATAGATCAAACATCAGCCGCTCGGTTTGGTATTACCTAAACCAGTAATTATTTGTGTTGTATTTTCAGTTATTTGTTTTAATGGTAATGTTAAGTTTTCCAAACATTTTCACAGGAAATGCAAAAAGAGATTTATTACTGAAGAGATATGCCTGTTTAATACTTGCAGTATTCGCGCATACCTTGTATATATGTGGCTTGCAATTAACACCATTGCATTCATCCACTATTCTCATTTCCTTATACCATTCAGTAAATCCTCGAAATGTATTTTCATGCAATTATCTTTTATTCATTTGTAAATCTGTTCTATTTTTTGAATTAGATTAGCTGTATTATTAGGTTTGCTATCTTTTTAAAAAAAATCCCATCTTAGCTTTGTTGTAGAACAAGTTCTTTAGCTTATCGCTCCATCATTCCCATTGTTTTGTTTCGTAGTATGTAACGACTTCCATTTGGGGTTTCAGTTTCTCCCATATTTTCGCCATTTCTCGTAAGAACTTCGTGCTTATAAGCTTTTTCAGAAGAAATATACGCAAAAGATTACAATTGCGGTTTTCAATTTAGTGAACGTTAGCGCGCAGAACTTTACATTCACATCAAATTTCAGTTGGTATTCCGAATCCTGTATTTTTTTGCAGTTCACCATTCATTTGGAATGTTCATCTAATTGCTGAACATTGCTACATTGACCAATGGAAATTGGTATTTGTTGGTTAAAAAGGAAAACAAATCCGGATGGCTGCATCAAGTTGGATTGCTAAGGTTCGTAAACGAAACGATCTGCGCAAGGAAACTTTGAAGGTTGGGATGAATTTTTTTTTTTCGAACTTATAAGTAACACAAAGGGCTTTCTCATTGTTTTGTTTGAATTACATCAGCTTAATTACATTGTTTCTTAAGATTACTACTTTTCAGTCATGTATACTTCTACACTTCATATTCTCGTTGAATTTTCGGTTTCCAAGGTTTTGTAAGGATTTTGTTTGGACTCCAGTGTGGTGACCTAGCTTTTATCTTGGATTTCATGGCATTTCGGATTTATGATGAGAAATTATTTAGTTTGTGCTAGACAACTTGCGGTTTTGGCTGAGATTTGTATAACTCAAACTGACTCCTTTTGAAGCTCCGAGTGCAAGTAATATACTTCTCATAAAGAATCATGTAATTCGTCTTTGCTGAATGTTTCTCATGCATTTTTTTTTTTCTTTCTTTTTACTTCATTTCTCATCGCTGTATACTTTCAAAGGGAATCGCAGGAGCAGCATGCAAGTTCACTTTAAATTAAGATGAGCTAATACATTCCGTTCGTAACACTTTTCGAAAAGGGAAACGAAGTATTTGAGGCTGTTCGTTATAGTTGTAAAATCTTTCGCACTGGAATGTTTCAATTCAGTTTGTTTATTAAACAAACGGTATGACTGGTTAGTGAAATTCAAAGGATGTTTTGCCATTTGTTCTCTTGAAACGCATTAACCTAGACAAATTAGCATCTAATTGTCAGGGATTATGTCGTTAAGAGCAGTTAAATGGTGTATTTCACCGATGTGTTTGGTTTTGTTAGACATTGTGCTGGAGTATACGGGTCAGGGGAATGGCTACTTCACTTATTTTGAAAGGGATCATACGGATTTACGGCAAGTAGATCCAAATTATAAAGTGGATGTTGAGAAGTATACGACCACTAGTACGGTTGGAATATCTTGGCTGTGTAGTTGAGTATAACTTGGCGTGACTGGTATAAAAGTTTTGCAGAAAGAATGTAGGGTGGAGGTTTAGAAAGGAATCTGCCAACCGTTTGGTGACGAGTGGGGGAGGGCTGTAACATTCTCTCATCTGTCCTGTCGATATGTTCATCCATTCGTATTCATTGATTCCTGAATATTTGTTAGAAAAGATGCTATTGCTGCTCGAGGATTAGGATTCATGTGCATGCATGTCTCTGGAGAAGAAGTTAGTCAGTCAATCAGTGTGGACGTGCTGTAAAAGACATTTCTATGTGAGTAGCGAACAATTTACATTCAAGCATCTCACAAATTTCATATTGATTCGATATGTCTATGTGAGCAGCCCCCCGCCTCTCCGCAATGGGTGAGGGAAGATAGTTGACTCGACCGGCACGCCGCACAGCATGCTCATACCATCCAGCCGTGGATCCGTTCATCATCGCATCCACTCTCATTCCCTCTCTCTCTCCCCACCACTCACTTTTTCATCCTTTCGTCTCCTGGTGCAACCATGTACACACACACACACACACACACGCATAGAGTGCATATGTATATGTACATATATCCGCACAGATTTATTTCTGCTCGCCAGACGCATATACACATGCAGATGATACGCACACACATACACACAGCAATGCATGCATACACACTCATAAAACCATATTACCCTTTCATCTGGGTTCCTTTTTCTCCAATTGTTATGGAGCAAACATGCAACACGCATGTTTGCTTTCATTTGTTGGCATTTGTTTTCTTAATCTGTGTAGTTTCTTACCGTTACGGTTATTTTTCGTAATGAGCCTTATCCGAGTATCACCCAGATGATTTTATTAGTGGTTCTGGTTTCATGATCCAGTCATCAGCTTCATTTCCATGGAGATTAATTATCGGTTGGAGATGTCATTCAGTCCATGAAGAATATATGATTCGGACGGAAAGTAAACACTGGTATTGGGTTGTTGAGTAGTTCATAGGTTACCATTTCTAGTTTAGAAT